AGGGTAGGACATGATAAAGACATCAACATACTAGATAATACCAGGCAAAACCTCTGAACTTGGAGATTCATGTTTAGGTTATTGATTGCATTTTCTTCTGGCTTTCTTTGGAAGGCATGTAAAAGAGTTTGTTGATAAGCCAGCCTTCAGTTATAAGGAAATCAGTCTAGAAACTATTGACGCTAGAGGGCGACACCCTCATACGAATAGTAATAGTAGTATTCCCCATTGGAAATTTGTAAAAGTCATCTGGTAGGGAAGTACCTAGGTATATACTTCTGTTTCGTTCAAGTTTCTATCGCCAAGTACCATTTTGTAGGACTGTTTCAATTTGAGAATATGAAGAAGAAGGCAGTGAAAATAACACAGTTTTCAGAAGTAAACGTTCATGGGTTACAGTAACAATTACCTTATTTTATTACCTTATTTAATTAAATTCCCAAAGAGGGTTAACGTCAGGCAGTAGACGACCGGTCATAAAACAAAAAGCTAAATTATTTTATAATATGGATAAAAACATATTACGCTGACCCTGATAATTAGAATAAAGGTTGGAATATAATGATTAGCTCAAAATTGTCACCGTTTGTATCTCTTATTTATTTTATTTATATGTTTATTTAAGGCAAACAGACAACTATAACAACATATATGAGTATTACATATATATATATATATATATATATATATATATATATATATATATATATATATATATATATATATATATATATATATATATATATATATATATATATATGATGCAATGCCGCTGGTGTTGTGGATGATCATGGGCGGCGGTAGTCACTTACCATCAGGTGAGCCGCATGCTCGTCTGCCCACTGTGTTGTAAAAAAAAAAAAATTACACAATTGATTAATAATTTATCAGCCAACAAAATTTGCACAAATGTATTATAATATACAAGTGAAGGAAACGCACAAAAATAGAAATATAAATAAACATTACCTACTATTGAATCTCTTATCTCACGAGTCCTTACATGACATACTCTATTAATAAAATACAATGTTTTTAAAAACATTTATCACATACCTACGTCGTATTTTAACTAAACCAGTCTGTAACTCCTGTTATCATTTAAGTACTAGTTAAACATGAAATGTACAACTCCATTTATTTGGGTTACATACCTGTCTAACAGCGACCATGCATTTGCATATTCTGTAATTTATGTGCATAATTACGATTAGGTAGACATTTTCAGTGCTTGTACATTAATTGCGTTTATAACAATTGTTTATACCTATATCAAGAAGAAAAAAATTGCGAAATAATATTTAATTTAACTTGTATCTTATTATAATTATGTATTTTTTATTTATACAACTTAGAATGGTAAAAAGCTGACGGCCCACCTGATGGAAAGTGGTAACCGTCGCCTATAGACATGAGCAGTACCATGGACACAACAGAGTATACTGTTTCGCCCATGATACCCCCTCATGCGTTGCCATTCCTGAGGACTCGACACTTGAAACACGAATGGGACAGAGGTACCCAAGTAAACAACTTTTGTACAAAGTCTCCCTCTGGTAGATTACTACATTAACTATTTTTTTTTTGTTTAAATCTATACGTAGCCAGTCTAAACCCACAATAAAGTTGTATAGGTAGATCTTACGCAAGGGCCACAAGCGGTGAGGTCGCAGGCATCTCCGCGGGCCCTACTTGGCTGCGCTTGCGCACTCAGTGAAAGCAGATCTTACACAATATGCCTAACTAAGTACATTTGTGAATTTACATGCACTGAGACTGGTTGCATTATTAACATACGTCTTAGTGTTAATTTTAAACTTTATAAGCGTACATTTGAGTTTTCAAGAGGATGAAGAATATCTATGGATTCCCTGATGGATTAATGAGGAGAAAAAAATGTTCATAGATCCAAATTTAAAGTCAGACATGATATATTCACAATCTTTCTAAATCACAATATATTAAAAATACTTACTTATAGTTACATTTGGGTATCTACATAAATATTTACTTTTTTTATACAGCAATAAAATGTGTTTTTTTTTATGCAACTTAGAATCGCAAACAAGCTAAGGGTCCCCTGATAGAAAATAATACCGTCGCCTGTAGACATGAGCAGTACTATGGACATAACAGAGTATACTGTTTCGCCCATGATACCCCCCATGCGTTGCCATTCCTGAGGACTAAGGAATGGCCCTTGTTATTACTCTGTACCCTGTAAATTCACTGCCAAATCCCACACTTCAAACCGAAACACAGTCATGCAAACAACTGTTTCACTGTAGAAACAGAAAAGGGACAGAGGTGCCCAGGCAAACGACTTTTTGACAAAGTCTCCCTCTAGTGATGTGTGTTGATCAATCATCTATTGACAAAATCAATATCTAAGAGTTTTTCTGTACCATAAAGTCAATCATTCGTTTACACCGAAAACAATTTTTAAGTAAATCGTAAATTATATAATAAAATAAAACAAATTCAGACACTAAGTACCGGTGGATTTTCTACTTTGAATTATGTGTCCAAGAATAGTACCTACCTATGATCCATATTGTATCCAAATATAAATCTATATAAAATGTCTACCAGAAAGCTATAGCGTTTCTACAATCCAAGTTGCTACTTAGTGTTTGCTTACCATGGGAACTCTGTCATGTATTTACTTCAATATGTGAGAAAAGACGCAGCCGGTTCTATGTTCGGATCGATCGGAATATTTAACTGAACACAGCAAAATGACAGTTATTTCAAAATGTAAAAATACATCTAAATACAAGTACAACCACACCAGAGGGAGACTTTGTACAAAAGTCGATTGCTTGGGTACCTCTGTCCCATTCGTGTTTCAACCGTGAAGCAGTTGTGTATGCATGGCTGTGTTTCAGTTTGAAGGGTGGGATATGGCGTGAATTTACAGGGTACAGAGGAATAACACCTGAGTCCACAGGAATGGCAACGCATGGGGTTATCATGGGCGAAACAGTATACTCTGTTATGTCCATGGTACATATCTATAGGCGACGGTTACCACTTTCTATCAGGTGGGCCGTTAGCTTGTTTGCCATTCTAAGTTGTATAAAAAAAAACACTTACGTAGTACAACGGCGTGCACCTAGCTTTACATTAACTAGTACGCCCTTAATCTTTTATTTATTATTTATCGTATTGTTTTGTTTCATATATGTTATGCTTAATATACAAACCCCAGAGTCACTTTCTGTTTTCGGGTTGTCGTTGATTTCGATTGAGCGTTTATTTTCTACGTGATGCTGTAACAAATATATAGACAGGCAGACGGACAAAATAAAAAAAAATTGTTTGTTCATATAAATTTTTCTTATATGTCACATGATACAGCGATATTAGTTTAATAATTTGTTAGCAAGGGAGGGCTTGTCTCTGAAAGAGATCTCTTCCAGCCAACCCAGTGTAGTTAGAGAGAAAATAGTTAATTTGCGGGTAATCTAGTGCAGGAAAGGTACATGTAAAAATAATGTAAATAAAACAAACATACACAAATTATATATATACAAATATCGTCTAGTTCGTTATTTATTCTATATTATGTAGCTGACCACATAATATATTATGCAGTTATCTAAAAACTTTGAATTGTATGCTATAACTAGTAGACATAGCGCTACTTATATTGTTATTGAAGCTTCCATTTTCCTGCTGGTTTCTTAACTGGGTTTTACAGTCGACCTCCACGTAGTTCCCCCTGGAAACCACCGTGAACAATTCTTGTTGAATGCGTCACGATGGGCTAACCGACCTGCTTCATCCTCACCTATCATCGTTCACTGGTGCCCCGCCGGTGTATTCCGATAGCGCGGACGGGTTACCATTCCATTAACACCCATTAAAAAAAAAACTGCGGTTGCCAATCCGCCTGCTAAGCGTGGCAATTACTGGTAAAACCTTCCAAGGGGGATGCTTATGTTCAGCGGTGGACAGTTAAACGCTGGTAAGATGGTGATATGTATAAGCGAGATCCTGCCAGATGTTAGTGTTTCAGTCGCAAAAACAAAGTAACTCGCCTGTAGTTGTGTACACAGCTGCAATACGCCTACACCGAGTTACTCATTATTTACTTTAAGAAATAACAACTACTTATGATATTAATAAAACGCACCCACTACTAGAATAAGAGAGCTCGATAGAAACGCGTATTGCATTGTGTTTCGTGAAACATAACTAGTTGTAGCCAAATTAATTCTGTATTTACAAGAAATACAGGTTATCGTTATATATCAGTGGATAGATTATTACCATTATCCGTCCACTGGTGAACATAGGCATCTCCCATAGCACTGCCATAAAGGTCGGTGCTGAGCCATCTGCATTCCTGCAGTGCATTTGAGGTCATCACTCCATCTAGTAGGGAGTCGTTTACTACGTTTACCCGTACGTGGTCGTTATTAAAAAAAAATATTTTTTGATATAATATAATGATACAATATAGAAATAATAAAAGTACATGCCACAATCTACCCTTAAAGTGGGGGGGGGGGAAGAGATTATTAGCAATGGAGTTTGACAGCCCCATTGCTAGCAATATGCCTTATTAGGTCGACCTCCACGTGGTTCCCCCTGGAAACCATCGTGAACAATTCTTGTTGAATTCATCACGATGAGCTAACTGACCTACTTCATCCTCACCTATCATCCTTCACTAGTGCCTCGCCGGTGTATACCGATAGCGCGGGTAGGGTTACCATTCCATTATCATCCATTAAAAAAAATACCCTTAAAGTGTGCAAAATTTAAAAGAAAATACATTCAGGTTTTTACTAATTCATTATTGTTTAATATGTTTTTTTACACATTATTGCCAGTGAAATTTATTTATCGCGTGGATTAGCTAGTATTTCAGCCGCACTAGCACAGCTGCTTGGCAACAGAAATATTAGCAGGACAGAGGTGCCCCTTAGGAAAAACAAAATGACGACTTTTCGAATTCGCATACAATTATAAGTATTTATTTTCTATTACAGTTCTTCAAACAATGGACCACATGGAGCACTCTATGGACCACTCCATGCACGCGATGTCCCCAGCCATGGAGATGACACATGGCGACCATGACAACCACGATAACGGGTGCGACCCCAGCCATCACCACGCCATGGTGGTGAGTAACTTCACAGATAATACTCGTATAATACTTTACTGTACATCTTACTTCTTCAACCGACTTTAAAAAAGGGGAAAAGGGGCTAAATGGGCTAGTAATGGCTTCTAACAGTCTTATTGCTAGCAATATACCCTAACAGATCGACCTCTACACGGTTCTCCCTGAAAATCGTCGTAGTTAATTCTTGTCGAATTCGTCACAATGAGCCGACTGACTTGCCTTCATCTTCAACTATCATCTATCACTGGTGCCCCGCTAGCATATGCCAAGCAGGGTTACCATTCCATTATCATTAACATACTGTACAGTATGATATTATCTGTGACCATGCAACCCTCCCTGGAATGAAAACGTAATTAATTCCCAGTCAATTTGTCACGAAAGTCCAATTGACCTGCGGGTCTAGCATGAAATGAAATTCCGAAATTTCGGACTCAATTTAGTGTTTTTGTTTATACCAAAATCGGACCAATAAATGGAGTTTAACATTTCATACATCCTATCATAAAAGTCCAAAGGAACGTCAAGGAAGTCACGCCTTACTCGATAAAAACCAACGCTCGGCCGTTTCATTTCCTTGTATTGTAATAAAAATATAAGTATGCCATATCTATACAACAAGTTATTTCAGTAATAAAATGTGCAACATAGTACTTTATCAGTATTTTAACCGCATGCGGTTGCGGTAACTGTGACATTGGTCGCTATCAACTAACTCCCAACTACGAGTATCTACTTTGGGCGACGGAAAAATATTTCTTCGCTGTAAACTGATAATGAAAATAATTATTTATTTACATATATATGTAAATATATTTATATACTATTGGTTACCGTGAATTTGGCTGCATTATTTATTTTATGATCGCAAGTCTGAATTGAATTAAAGTTAAACTGTCAGATAAGATTTATCTCGTATTTTATTTGCCCGTCTAATATTTATTTATGAAATTTATTTATTTATAAAAGATACGCCAACAATATGTTCACAATAATTAAACAGAATAGGTATAATGCTATAAGTAAGTAAGTAATGAAAAATAACTATTCAAAAATGCTTAAATCTAAATTTACATGAACAAAAACATTAATAATGTTACGAATTATGCACTCAAAATAGTCGCACGACTGGTTTATTAACATGATAAAAATATCCTTATATCCTTATTCATACAAAATACTACAATAGAATAAAAATTTATTATTTGACAAAAAACATAAAGTTACAAACCCAAGATACAATGGGCCCTACACTAGGCGAGCCTGTATCGTGGGCACCCGACAAAGATTAACAAATCACGATGGGTATTAATATAAAAAAAAGGAATATAAAATTAAAATAGTCGTCATTGCTGATCAGTAAATCCCGAAAAACTGTAACGTTATAAAAATCAACAATATAAATACACAAGCAATTATAAAACAATAATAATAAATGCCCTTAAGAGAAGCAAAGTTGCAAAGAAACTAATCTACGGGATGTCTTGACACACTCGAATTGGTATCACAACATATAGATAGATACGTAGAGAGATAGATACTTTTTATTGTTTCCTCCAAAAGATTACAGTAGTGTTCGCGACATTATAATTTCTTTATATAAAAAATGTATAGTTATAGCGATATTTTATAGTTATTTTATACACTGATTGTTATCTTTAAGTTGTTAGTTTTTAATCGTTTAAATTGTTATTTTTTATAGTTCTTTATATGATGTATCTATAGCTTGTAAGTGGAATAAAGCATTTTATTGTGTCGAGTCCTTATTACCTTCAAATAGAAATAAGGAAAAATTGTAAAACACTAGTAATAAGGATAAATATAATAAATAAATAGGCCGCCTACCGTTGAGCGGCATGCACTGCACTGCACTGCACTGCACTGCACTCCCCATCCGATAAGGAACTAGGAGAAACTCTTCAGAGCGAAACCGGGAGCTTCAAGGAAAGGAATAGTCGTTTCTCTCCGGCCTGATCCAGCACCCTACAGTCCACGCTCACCGAACGGGTCAAGCTGCACCGTTCAAGTAGTTATTATGTGTTACTGTGGCACACGCACGAAAGAAGGAAATTCTTGTTTTATATATTTTGCTATTTGTTTTTTTTTTTTGTTGCTTTCTTTTGTTTTACATTCTTTTATCTCTTTTTACTGGGTATGTCTGTATTATATGTATGTTTGTATTGTTATTTGTGTGCTGTAAGTAATGCAAATAAATTATCTATCTATTATAGATAAATGCAAACAATTTTAAGAAATATTTACACTGAGTCAACCTTTCAGTCAACCTTTGGATGGAGAAGAATAAGCAGTTTAATTGGAGGCACGATAAAATTTCTGTTATTTTAAATACATATAGAGATGAAATACATGCGATAATATAAATATATGTTCCTACTTTCTATTAAATATATATATATACACAAATATACTAAAATCCATATATAAATATATACCCAACTATATATATATATATATATATATATATATAAAACGCAAAGTGATAAAATTGTTAGGTATTTGAAGAAATAAGTATGCTAACCAGACAAGCAAATTGCGATGATGACAGATTGTTCAAATAAAAGTCCTCAACTTTTGTTTTAAATCTTGACAGACATTGTATACTCGTATTATATATATATATATATATATATATATATATATATATATATATATATATATATATATATATATCCATACGAAATACGTGTGTGTGTGTGTGTGTGTGTGTGTGTATATAGGCGTCAAAGGGACCTTTCATTTAGTTAAATATGCACGCGGGTAAAAATTCACGCCATATCCCACCCTTCAAACCGAAACACAGAAACTCGAATGGGATAGAGGTGCCCAAGCGAACGACTTTTGTACAGTCTCCCTCTTACTCTGTGGATAACTGTAATTGGCTAGCATTTAATAAATGTGTCATATGTATTTAATAATGCAAAACGCTGTCGTTATGCCAAATAAACTAAATAAAATAAAAAAAAAAAATTCTATATTGGGTTCAAGACCGGATTTTATTGAGCGAGCAGTTTAAAAATTACGTGTGGCCTTCTTTTTTGCAAATACTATGTGTAATGGGGGGGGGGGGGGGTTGTTAGTAATGGAGTTTGACAGCCCCATTGCTAGCAATATGCCTTATCAGGTCGACCTCCACGTTGTTCTCCCTGGAAACCATCGTGAACAATTCTTGTTGAATTCGTCACGATGGGCTAACTGACCATAATGACCAGGATGAAGCATCATTCGGCTCGCCAACGATAGGGAGTTCACCCTCATACCTTACAACCTAAATGGTCGCGTACGACGCGGTTTCAGAGTTGTTTTTTCCCACGAACGCTCAGGTTATGGAATGAGCTCCCTGCCGAGGTTTTCCCAAGAGACTACAGCATAGGGTTCTTCAAAAGGGGGGTATAGAGGTTTCTTCAGGGTCTGCAACGTGCGCGTAATACTTTTGGTATTACAGGCGTTCATAGGCTACGGTAACCGCTTACCATCAGGTGGGCCGTATGCTTGTTTACTACCGTAGTGGTATAAAAAAAGAACAACTCATCCTTCACTGGTGCCCCGCCGGTGTATACCGATAGCGCAGGCGAGGTTACTATTTCATTATCACCCATAAAACAATACTACGTGTACGCCAAACACGACGATCGATTGATCCGTTAAGGCGCTAAGGAACTAACAAACAAATACTATCCTTTACAAATATAATCCATTTGACTCATCTAACCCACATTCAGGACTCGAGCTGTTTACTGTCAAACGGTAGTCAACAAGTGGTGGCATACCATCGCGTTGTTTGGTGAAACAGAGAACGGTGTCTGTGTGTCAGGCCTGTATGCGATTGCGATGGATCGCGCGTCGCTTCCTGCCACTACGGACGGACCGACATACACAACGACCGTCGTACACCAACACCTGTTTAATAACAACGAATAATAACACACACACACACACATAATATATCTACAAAATGATTTTTTTTTATACAACTTAGAATGGCAATCAAGCTGACGGCCCACCTGATGGAAAGTGGTAACCGTCGCCTATACACATGAGCAGTACTATGGACATAACAGAGTATACTGTTTCGCCCATGATACCCCCCATGCGTTGCCATTCCTGAGGACTCAGGTGTTATTCCTCCGTACCCAGTAAATTCACGCCATATCCCACCCTTCAAACCGAAACGCAGCCATGCAAACACAACTGCTTCACGGTTAAAACACGAATGGGACAGAGATACCCAAGCAATCGGCTCTTGTACAAAGTCTCCCTCTGGTAAAATTGAGAATAGATTAATATTGTTTATCTTTAATATTATTTGTCTATAGTCTTACTGAATGTCAAACATAACCATAATTGATTTATTTATAACAACATAGGTTATGGTCGAATTTTGATCACTAGGCGACCACTGGTATATATAAAAAACAGTAATTTTGTAAAACTATCAATTTATAAGGGTTAAGCTATAGTCACTGTCACATTATTTACCAGTATATACCGATAACGCAGGTGGGGTTACCATTATCTGCAAAAAAAATATCTCAGATAAATAACATTGCTTCTGTGTTTTGGTTTCTTTAGTACGGAAGATTGACAATGCTCTAAAATAAATATTAGTTTATCTAATCATAACATCTGACTCTGCCTTTGATTTTGTGTACAGCTAAATTATCTTAAGTCCCAGATTCGCCCGGCTCTCTCAAGATAATGTCCATGTAAGATTAGCGATGCGCGACTTTACTAATCCAACTATTAATTATTCGACTGAGCAAATCATTCGGATTTTGTAACGAATAAGAGTATTGCCAATTTAAGTTTAGTAAAAATTACCAATTTTTTTATAAAAGTAAGTACAACTTTTATAGGAAATTGTGAAAGTGTTATAACACGTATTAGAAAATTCAGTAAAATAGTTCTTGGTGGCGTTTTTTTTTTTGGTCGTCGATTTTTCCTAAATGTAATAGTGATGGATACAGATTATAGAATGAATTTAGTAGTCAACAAATTTACGAGATAGGACTGTTATAATTAGTTACTAATTAGTAAAATCATTCGAATACGGACATTAGTATATTACTAATTTCGTAGTCAAATTATAAAATTAGTAATTACTAATTATTCGTATAAAAAAATCACTCGGATTCGCGCATCGCTATGTAAGACTAATGTAGATATATTTATTAAAGAGCAATACACGTTTAGATAGTTTTATCAGTCCTATTGTTTCAAATCATTTTATTCGCGATCTGCTATCGCCGACAATCGCAATTGTTACAATAAAACGTTTACTTAGAAAACAGGATGTTGGTAACCGCAGCCACGTGCTTGGCATGACGCCGCCCGTGTGCTCGGTTCATGTAACAATTCTCTGCGAATTCTTGGTACTTTAATTATTGAATATTTATCAGATGACATCTCACCAATATAAATATTACTATTTGAAGACATTATTCGTGGATCGTACGACTGGGTTCGAAAAATATTAGTTTGTCATAAAAGTGTATTGCTATAACCTCCTGCGGCCCGGTTTCAAAGTGGGTACATCCGAAGAAGACCTAGTGTCCTAATATTAGAACAAATTAATTAAGTCCTGAACGCCCAGACCAAAAATTGTTCATATCTTGGTAACCACAACAGATATAGGTGTAATATTTTAGGGATACTTTAATATTGATTTAGGCTTGCCCGACAGAAAAAAACGACTCCAAAATATTTTGTTCTATATTTATCACATTGGGACGCTACATATAACCTGAAGTCCCATAGAAAATGGAAATTTAAACACCTGATATAACAAATAATTCATTTCCTAATAAGTACATCCTTATTACTGGGTATCCAATACATACCATAATCAAGGACAAGCCTATGAAAACTTTTAACTCGCCATTTGTTATAAGCAGACTCTTTTCTGTTTTATAAACGGCTGTTTGATTCGTTTTATCTACGATCATATCTATTAGCTCATCATCAAAGTATTGAGTAAAATAGTCTAATTTTGAAAAAATTGTTCTGTCTTGTATCGAGTACGATGGCTCAGAAAGCATAGGAAGGTTTTATGTGAAATTCTTTACAGCCCATGTAAACTGATTATCTGAACTACTGCTACCGCGAGCACTAGTAATTTGCGGAGTGCGCTCACATCTTCTGCTCTAATGTGCATGAGCACGGGCTCGCATGCGCGATCGACCTCGTCCTCAAATACTTTTCAGAATTGGTGGTAGGCTCTTAGACTCTGATTCTGAGCTAGTACTGGTTTCACTTGCATCATTCCTATCTGGAAGGTACTCATTGCCAGTATCCTCTCCTGTAAAAGGATCTCCCTCGTCGTCTTTGAAATCTGATTGATGTAGTATCTCTAATATTTGACTATCTGTTAAAGGGAAAACTGTGTCAGCACAATGGCATAGACTAACTAGAAGGAAGATAATTAAAGGTATAAATGTACGTAAGGTATAAACGTATTAGTATTAACATGAAATAAAATCACTAAAAACCATATAAACGCTTATAGTGCTAGTATTAGTACAAAAAAATAATCACCAAAAAAGCATATTGATATTGACAAAATTACGATAAAATAATAGTGTTTATATAAATTGCATCCCTTTGTCCCGATAAAAAAACAAAATTTCGTAAATATAACACAAAAATTTAAAAGATATAAATGATCAAACAAACCTTTTATTGTTGTACGTGCCACCACTTCGACTTAGAATGACAGAAAAACGAAAAAAATTTACCTGTCCATTGAAAGCAGTGCACTGCCACAATGCCAAATATATTTACAAACTAAACGACATCGAATACACAACATGGCACGTAATTCAAATGCGGCAGATGACGAAAAATATTTTGTTCTAGTATTAGGACTTCTGACCTCAGGAGGATAAATAAATCTGAGAATAAACACAATTTTATTTATTTATTTATTTATTTATTTCCAGACAACTGGGATCCATTCTTGTTAGTAAGTGTACTTAAAAACTATGTTAATACTTAATTACTAATAATGATCTAGTCCTCTCGGAGAGCATTTTCACGAGAGGACTATCCAATTTATTAACAAACATGTTCAGGATACTGTTGCTACTCCCGCGTATTCGACGTAAAAACGAAGCTGTCTTTTTTCGCCAGACTGCGTCAAAACTATCTGTGCGAGCGTCGGCAAACATCGCTGAGGCGCTACAGAAGCGCGGAAGCCGCAACAGTAACCTGAAACTATTATTAAATTGGATACGCAATACACTACAATACTTGCAGTTATTTTTTTGCTCGAATGAGTAAAAATTATTTGTTTTCCTCAAAGATAGTGTGACATAAAATAGGAAGGAAACAACAAAACTACAAGAGGCAAGACAAATAGATAGCTTAATTTTTTTTTATGGATGTTAGCGAAATAGTAACCCCGCCTGCACTATCGATATACACTGGTGGGGCACCAGTGAAGGATGATAGGTGAGGATAAAGCAGGTCAATTAGCCCATCGTGACAAATTCAACAAGAATTATTCACGATAATTTCCCGGGGGAACCACGTGAAGGTCGACCTAACAGGGCATATTGCTAGCATATAGGGCTGTCAAACTCCATTGCTAACAATCCCTTTCCCCCAGATACCTTCATTTGATGTAGGTACTGGGTATAAATTAATACTCAGAGTCAACACTTAAGATACTTAGTTTCTTGGGTGAAACTATTTTATGGGGCTAAAACTTTACAATCCTAATCACGAACATAGCTGCCATATTCATTTATGGACTGTAATGGAAAATGATATTGACGTATGCAATTGTCCAATTCCAGTTCCACGCGTGCGTGTGCCAGGAGATCCTGTTCAAAGGATGGATGACTACGAACGCTTTAGAGATGTTCGGCTCGTGCGTGGCCATCTTCTTGGCCGGTGTGCTGTACGAAGGGCTGAAGTACTACCGGGAGGCTTTACATTCCCGCGCCACCACTGCGACAGCGGACTCCAGGGTTAATATCACTAAGAACGAGTGCGGAGCCGGCGGCAACTGCGGTGGACCTACTGTTGTCAAGTATGTACTCGTAATAGTATCTCTACCGCACCTACTTTTAACGCTAAGTACATCGCTGTATTCTGATTTGAAGGAAAAGATATTGCAGTGAAATTACTGGATATTCACTCGAGAACTTCGTCGCTACTGTACGATCTGTCTGTTAAACGTGAAGGTAGATCGAAAATTCCCAAAAGTGATTTTTTTACGATGCTTACCTAAATATTACGTATAAAACTAAACGTTAAATCGAACTTTAAAGATAAAGAACTTCGAACTCTTATTTCATGTTTTACTGCCTAATAAATGTCACTTAGAATTGTACATAAATGATATCACAATCGTACGTCTGTCCCATTCGTACCAGAGGGAGACTTTGTACAAAAGTCGATTGCTTAGGTACCTCTGTCCCATTCGTGTTTCAACCGTCAAGCAGTTGTGTTTGCATGGCTGTGTTTCGGTTTAAAGGGTGGGATATGGCGTGAATTTACTGGGTACAGAGGAATAACACCTGAGTCCTCAAAAATGGCAACGCATGGGGGGTATCATGGGCGAAACAGTATACTCTGTTATGTCCATGGTACTGCTCATGTGTCTAGGGGACGGTTACCACTTTCCATAAGGTGGGCCGTCAGCTTATTTGTCATTCTAAGTTGTATAATATATATATATATATATATATATACTTTTGTATATGTTACGTGTTTTCGCCAAATTTGAACTGATTATGATAATTCTCTTTACATTTTTTTTTTTTTGTATTTTATAAGGTTTACTTTCAACTTGGTCTCCTATAATTTTTGTGTCGATTCATTCCTGTTTTAATTGAGTTATGTTATAACTCAATTAAAACATATAAATATAGATAATAATCTGTTAAAAAATTTAACGAATCATAAACCCTTCATGAACCATAGATATTTGATAAACATTTCTCTACGTCCACAGATATTCGATGCTGTCATCTAGCCACATCGTGCAGACGGGACTACACGTGGTGCAGGCGACGTCCTCCTACATCCTCATGCTGATATTCATGACGTACAACCTGTGGCCCTGCTTGGCCCTGGTCCTCGGCCTCGGAGTCGGCTACTTCTTCTTCGGCTGGAGGAAGAGCACAGTGGTGGACGCCAACGAGCATTGCCAATGATTAACACTGTTGTCAAAGAAATATATGACAAAGTTCCGGATGAGAGGTTTTTCTGTAACTTAAACATTAACCAATCGTTTAATAATTATATATTTTGGCAACGAAACTATAGTTCAATTGATAGAAACGCTGGCCTAGTAAGTTTAAACTTTAGTCGATTCAAAGTTTTTTTTTAATCATTTATAAAAATATGGATTTAGAATGGTTTTGTATATTTTTTTTTAATAATTATTCGTAGACACTAATATGACACTATGAGTAATATAAAATTGTCAAATTATTAAAACTTATGCCTTAATCCCTTACAGGATTGACTGACAAATCGTATTTAGGAAAATATATTTGACCATTGTTGTTTTGCAATATTGTTTTTAAGAGTGGAGTTATAAAATATTAGAATAAAAATTAATTTCACTGTATTTTATGTTAAAATGGATGTTTTATATAATAACAATTTGGTTATTAGAATCTTTCATCTGGAAGACATTCCGAGGCAAAATGAATAGGAACTGATTTGCAATGAAACTGATATATGACTCTGATTTAGTTGTTAATAATTATTACGATGTAGTTTTTATGATTAAGACCCATCTGGTTAGGTTGGTAACGATTAGATCATTTGTATTTGCATTTATATTATGTTATTATTAGTTAAATTATAATTAATAACACCTATTATTATTATAAAAATTAAAAAACATTATTTTATGGAAAACTTGCATCTAAATCAAACGTAAACTATTACTATTTATAATCTGTGGAATCAAAATATAATAAATGACTGAATTTACTTATCACTCATCAACTAAACACAAAACTAAAAATGAATTTACACCTACAAGTAAAAACACAATATAATAACTCAAAAGACCTTATTACTTTGTAGTGTAAAATTTTCAAATTCAATTAACTGGTTGCATAAATTTCATACAAACGTTTTTTTTGTTCGTAGTGACTCGGACCTAGACTAAATGTTTTTTTTTTCACAACACAGTACAAAGCATAGATGCTGATAGCAGGTATATTCGGATTATTAATATTTTTTTTTTTATTTAATAACTGTACCTGTGTCGTCAAGACCGTACACGGTCTGATCGTTACCAACAAACACATTGTTATCATTTCATATCAATTTTTAATGTTTGTTTATATGTAAGTACCTATTATAGATTTAGATAAGATATATATAAATTATAAATGTATGTAGATGACCTAATTTCCGTTATTTAAGTTGATCTTGCCATTACATGTTAGAAAAGTAAAAAGTTAAAAAAAAAGCAAGGATGGAATAGAATGAGTCTCTTAATAATTTTTCTTGATATGGTTCACAAAATTATACGACCCTCACCTTCCTCTTTAATAACTTGAGTTTTTTTTTTTTTTGACAACGAGAGATCGGAATAAAGCTTGTTGTGTCTCATAAAAATCTACGCTTTCTCCATTCCTTGCAGTTCCAACCCCAGGTTAAGACGGCTTCTCTACTACCATAATTGAAAGCAGTCTGCCACAGAGACTACTTAGAACGGCAAAATTTGTTTACTACATGTTCTCCTGGGGTGCCAAATTTGACATATCGGACGTGTTTACGAGTATACTGAATTTTCGTTATTGTGTTATTATGACTTAAAATTAATGCAATACACAAGAAAGTGCAAAACAAAAAAATACATTTATGGTGATCAACCAAACGAGCGTATCACTTAACGACTTGAGAAATGTGATAATTATTGTATCAATTTATGTGATAAGTATTAGATATTATTGTAAATAAGTTTAAAATATTATAAATACATTCCTGTTTTGAGTATATATGTTTTTTTTTTATTTCTCAACGACAACTGCGTCCGTGAAGCAGTTTCACGGTGACTTTATCTCATGAAACTTCCGTTTTACCGTAATAAAAAGTATACTCCATATTTACATGAGAACTATGTTTTATTTATTTATCCTTTATTGATCATTGTATAGAAAAATGTTTCGTACAAAAGACAAACTTAATGCTATGCCACACGGTTGAATGCAGTCTTTTTTTAACATACTTCTAATGTGGGATTGGGGGGGGGGGGAGTTGTTAATAATGCGCACTACCAGTCTCATTGTTAGCAATATGCCCAAAAATTTCAAGTGAATTCATCACGATGAGCTAATTGACCTGCTTTTTCATTCTCACCTATCATCTCTCACTGGTGCCCTGCCAGTGTATACCGATAGCGCAGGCGGGGTTACCATTCCATTATCATTCATAAAAAAAATACTTCTAATGTAATAACCTGTATTTAAGCAAATAAAGTTATCATTCATTCATTCATCCTCATTCATTCATTCAATATATATTTAGCATTCTTTGCCACCTTAATCTTTGGCAAAATAAAAATGTATGTTTCTGGCACTTCATATTTTCATCTCTATGAATAGAAAGTTAAGTTATATAAAAATTGTTCTGAATCTAAATATGTATATTTTTGCGATATCAAACTAAACCTCGTATCATTGCTATAAAAACTCTCACCGTTGTATCAACTTCGTGTGCTTTAAAACCCATCTTTCCTGTCCCACGTTACCTGTATTCTCCAATCGAAGGTTTGAATTTGGAACTACTACCTGGAACTAGCGAGTTATGAGGTCGCAAACATAAAAATACAACCGAATCTCAAATTTCCTTCATTTTTTAAAGTAAATTGATTAATCCTTGTTACACAATAGTCTTTACTATTTAATTTTTTATAAATAACTCCTCATTACTTTTACACTTTATATGCGAAGCGACGCAAGAAATAATGAGAAATGAAAATATTCAGGCGCTATATTCTTAACAGATTGTTCTTTATTACACACTAGCAACTCGCGTCGGATTCGCACGGGTTCTTTACAGAAAATATAATATATCCTGTGTTACTCCCAGGAGATGTAGCTTTCGAGGAAATTGCTTAAAAAGTTTTTAAATTAATTCGTAACAAACATAAATTCAGTCATCTTTCCTCGTTATACATAATATTAATTTACATTGATACACTAACTAAATTTTCGAACGGGACGGCTCGGACGTGAGGCGCGAGATTTTTTTTTAATGGGTGATAATGAAATGGTAACCGCGCCTGCGCTATCGGTTTACGCTGGCAAAGCACTAGTGAATGATGACAGGTGAGAATTAAGGTAGGTCAGTTGGCCCATCGTGAAGAATTCAATAGGAAATAACCACGATGATTTTCAGGGGGAACTACGTGGAGGTCGACCTAGCAATGAAGCTGTTACCACCCATTACTAACAATCCCTTTCCGAAGTTACGAAGCGCCTACGCGGCCCGGTCAAATCACGGCGACACGAAATTAATTTCGTTGCGTATTATTTTGATTTTGTTATATCTCCTAAGGTAGATATTTATTTAATTTGCATGATGTAAAGGAAAAAAAATAATCTTCATAAAATGCTTAAGCCAACTAACGTATTTAAAATTGCAAGTGTTAATACCGTGTTTGTGTCAACAGTTTTGTAATTGCCCATTTTTTTTTTAATATTAATATGGATATAGTACGTTATTCTTAAAGATAAATATATGCTATTGGTGACTTTTCTGTAGACCTATATAAGATACACAATTCCACCATACATTATTTTATTATATCTCAAAGGGATTAGGCAGCGTTTTCGTTCAAAAGTCCCAGACGGCTTATTTTTTTCGACACCTTTAACAAACGTCATTATATTTTATAATATATACAAAAATGTAACAAGTTATATACTAATACCTTTCTCGAAAACATTCTGTTTATTAGTGAAAACAGCATGAAAGTCGGTGCAGTACTTGTTGAGTTTATTGCGAACAAACAGACAGACGCGGCAGAGGACTTTGTTTTATAATATGTAGTGGTAACGTTATCTAAACAATGTCCTTATATCTGTTAATAATTAGTCAAAAGCGGTTTCTCTTTTAAAGTGCATACAAATTGGTGTAGTAATTTATATGGGAAATAAAGTAATAACTCAATTTTATATATTACTAAATATGTACAGTTTATTAATAAACGGAAAAAATACCATCTAATTTACAATTTCAAAGTGTACTAAGTTAAGAACCGTAGATTTTTAAATACCGTTAAATTTATATATGCTACCTCGAATCTCAGAATAAATAATAAGTGCCTCCTTTTTGATACTTAAAAATATTGCCAATAATTATTTATAACCCAACAAAGGTCAAAGATCTTAACCAAAAATTAAATTTGTACCTTGTACCTATGAATCATTATAAACGGTGAATCATTTAATTTCTGAACGTTGATATTTATACATATTATCTATGTTTATACTGATACTGTGATTATATAGGTTCGTTCCTATAAAATTATCTGGGCCAAAACACTTTTAAAGTTTTTTTTTAACTCTTTCCTATACACTTAGTTCGAAAGAGATAACCAACAAGTGTAATAAACGTTGTGATCAAGATTATGCGTGCTACGGAATTTGTACGGCTAACGTCACACGAATTGACGATTTGACGTAAATGTCATGGCTGTCAAGTGTGAAATGTGCCTGTGGTGCATGTTTTCTCTTTTACAAATTTACTTGTTGATTTTACAATAAAATTAAAGAGAAATAAGTGATTCGTCCCGTCGGTCGTTCGGAAAAAACTATGTTATAGTGTAGTGAATGCAGAAGCCGCTCTGGACTGATCATCTTCGTAAGAGGAGCGCGGATTGTTCAGGTAACGGTATTATTTATTTGTGACGACGTCGAAGATTTTCAAATCCGGCTCACGTAGTGACTAAATCGATTACGGATTCTTCCAAAAATGCCTTGTTACATAATATAAACACGGATTATTGACATATTTACGTGGAGATGTTGAAAATAAGTGCGGTTCATATTATCGGATTCGGATATTCGTTGTTGTGGTGGGCACTATAAGTATCCTAGTTTGTGTTTCAATTTCAAAAACAATAAAAAAAACTCCTACAACCAACAATGCAATCGACTAATAACATTCTATATTATTGCTAATGATTAAATTTTATATTTATAGCTAATGTAAATGATTAAATTATCATTTTTTTTTATCAACATATATTATCTAGTTATCTATAAATAAAGTTATTTATAAATGTATATATTTACCTTTATTATTAAAAAAATTACTATACTAATCCGTGATTCCCCCATCTTCATCTGAATGACCGCAATAAGAGGTAAGTATTAATAATTGGTTACTTTTAAATCCATGCTGATTGATTGATCCATTAATTCACTAAAAGATATCAAACAAACACACCTTTGAACTTATTACGATATTTGTAAGATTGATTTAACTTTTTTTTTACTCATTGATAAAAATTAATTCTTTAAGTTCCAAGTCTAATAGTAAAAACAACTAGATTTAAAGAATTAATACCAAAGTTAGCAATGTCTGCACTACTTGTCAATTTTTAAAAATAACAAATTACATTTCTGATTTATTTTTTAACCAACCTCATAAAAGGAACCGGTTCTCAATTTGTGTTTTTTTTTGTTTGTCATTTAATTACCTGGAATTATAAATTATTTCTTTATCTGAAAGGTATAGTTATATATATAAGGTATAGTTTCAGACTGGTCCTGTAGAAATTTTATCAAAATGGGTTGAATTTTTAGTTTAATTTTTAAGGTAAACTAACTGATCTTGCCATAATTGATGTCAGTTTTTTTTTTAAGAACACAATCATATTTTATTTAAAAAATGGTTCTCTATTGCACTAATATATTTGTAAAGTTTGAAATTGAATGAAACTCGCAAATAATAATGGCTGCATTAATAAAAGATTATTTTTTTATAAGATTGAGTTTGTTACAGCTTGATTACTTAACAGTTGAACTGGCCATTATGAGATTTTGTACACACATAGTATTCAGCATGGAAAAAAATATACGGATATTAAATAATCCGTTATTCTGGTTATATGGATAAAGCCACCAACACTGGTGCAGCTATTACAAACAAATCTATCACTTAGTGTTTGACAACTATGTATTTATTTCAAATTTTACTTTTTAAGTACCTCATTAAAAAAAATTTAGCTTGTTTCATGTAAATTATATTTTCAGTGTTTGAAATGCCTGTAGCAATGTGTGTATTGAAATTTTCTTTGACTCCTTTTCCAAGTTTGATAAATCGATATCTGTTTTTAAAATCAACATTTGTTAAACTATATAGTATTTAAAATTAAATACACTTATTGTATACTTATCGACATTGGTAATCATATGTTAAACATATTTATAAATAATGAAGTTTATCTTTATTAGCAGTCGAGATCTGTTATTATCTTATATTAAAAAAAAAATTAAGCTGTGTGCTTTGAATGTTTGCAATATGATAGTCCCTATAGATAGGCATTGTGGACTTATCCTAAAATCTAGAATGTAAATATTACACTTAACAAATAAATATGATGCAAATACAGAAAAAAAATGATTAGTAAACAAAAATTAGGTAACAGTAAAAAAAGATACAGAATATAATGCACCTAATACAAATACTGTTATAGTTATTGCTACCACATTAATAAAATATTAAAGACAACAAACCATCCAAATTAATAAAAATTATACTATAAATCACTTTAAAATGAAATATCAAAAGCCTTAAAAATCAGTGACTTAAACTGCGATAATTTTATTAACAGATAAAAACGACACTGTAAAATAAACTCTATCAATTGTAGAAAGTTTTCATTAATATTTTTATTTATTTATTCTTTATACAAGGCAATACTAAAAGTATTTTCTCCCAAACAACTCTAGGGAAGTGTATAAAGTACTTGAATGTGGTACTACTATTGATATACTTATATACTAAAATTGGCATATATATATGTTCACAAATAAATATGTATAAATAATAAATATACTTACACATATATAAGATATACTGTATTATACATCAAGATGAGGATAGTTGATAATACTTACTGCTCAGACAAAGTATAAAAGTGAATATTGTAATATATATATAATGTTACAGTTAAATTAAACACCTACTAATAAGAGATGAGCAGAAATTATCTCTTCATTCTCTAACCGCACAGCTGACCGAAGTGGAATACAAGTAGATGCAAACATATGGATTTTAAAATGACTATCTAGCTTAATAGCTTTGAACATAAACCATTTTTTTGAATAATGATTTAGATGAAAGTCTCTAGATGGTATCAGGGAGCACTTTCCAAAGCTGTGTAAATTAAAAGAATTTAATGTGAAACCAGTATGGTGAGAGAAGATAGAATGTTGCACAGGAACATAAATTATAAGTTTGAAAATGAAATGAAATGAAATATTAGAAATGAAATGAAATGAAATATTTGAAATGAAATGAACTGAAATATTTGAAATGAAATGAACTGAAATATTTGAAATGAAATGAAATGAAACATTTATTTGCTTTAAACATACATTTGACATTATAAGGGCCATGTGACAAAACTTTTTGGTATCTGTTTAATTGCCTTAAAATTGTAGGCGTGCGTATTATGATTATAGAATAATAAAAAAAGAAAAAAACAATTCTCAAACAATTATGAAATCAAATCAAATGATACTGGAATTTACTGATTAGGTAATTTGAAAAATGCAGATTCCTAAAACGAGTAGAGTGCAGAGTAGATATAACTTGTTTATAATCATTAAACATAGTAATGATTGTATTTAACTAGAGATCTATCCTGTATGCAATTAGGATGTATTGTATATACAAATCTTTGATAAAAAAGCACCTAGACATTGAAACAAATCAGAATCTGTCCTTTAGTGGAAATAAACAGAGAAACAGATAGATGCACACAGCAACTTTGTTTTATATTGTTTAAAAATACAAATATAAGTTTTAAATAATGAAAAAGTGTTTATTTAATATTTTATTTTTTTGTATATGATTTTATAAAGTATTATTTTTATATTGCTTATAAAACTTCCTATAAATATTATCCCAAAACGTAATCCGGTCTGTTGCCATGCTGTCGGTTATTGTAATGGTATCTCCAAATATCAGTCCGGTCACTCTGTTGATGGGGTTGCCATCATTGGCTGCGACCGGTTGCCATACAAATGGTATTAAAGATGTTACAAGTGGTGTTGGATCTCTGAAATTAATCAATGTTGATAAATGTAAAAATTAGTTAATTTTTTTTTATGTAAAATGAAACAGAAGCTCAGCTCTATGGTACTGAACATGTCCATAAGCAACCATTACCACTTTCCATGAGGTGAGATGTCAGCACGTTTGCTGTTCGAAGTATCATAAATGAATAAATAAAATGAAATTGTTGAAGGCTCACTAAATAGAAATATAATAAATAGAATGATGTTACAGTGTATTGTCATTTCAAATTATAATGTAAAAAATAGCTGAACTTATGCCTAAATCTATATCCTATACTTAGATAATTTGAAACTGCATAACTTACCCTATTTTAATAAAGTTACTCCACATAGTAACAATTTTTTTTATAACCAATTCGTCTGTACTTCCATATAACTCATTTTTAATATAAAAATAATCTAATATTTTGCAATCTCCATCTATTTCTATATCATCCGCTTGATAAGAGTTACATTTGTATGAGAATTTCATTAAGAAAACTGGATTAGAACTCGCTGCAGCGTGTAGTACGGCTGACTTCATAACCGGGTATTCCATAATTACGTCACGGAAATACTCCTCATAGATTCGAAACAAACTGTCATCTATCACTGTCTCCCCAAAATAAAAATGTTTCACCAACTGTCCAATTTTATGCCTTAACTCATCACTGTTGAATTCCAAATTGTTTGGCAGCAAATACTCAAAGTTTTCTGGTATAGAATTAAACAATTGCTTAGGGAGTTTAGTGATTTTAACACTTTCCGTAAAAACTATCAACATGGGGACTTTGTGATAGTTTTGTCTCTGAAGAATATCTACAGGATCCATGTCTATAAATGCATTAGTAACGGTGTTTTCAATGCAAGGCAGAAATGTTAAGCTTGTATTCATAAGTTGTTCCACAGCAGCTTTTCTGAATAACCTTGACAATTCTGTCTCGTCTTCTGTGTCTCTATATCCGAGCGTCGCTGAGACATCGACAGCGGTCGACAGAGGATCATAACTGATAGACATAGGAGACAATGCAGTCCCAGACTCCAAAATCACTTTATGTAGAAACCCTTTTCCTAGACCCGATAGTAAAATTAACTCTACAGCCGTAGCTCCAAATCCAAAACCGTAAACGGTTACATCTAGCGGGTTGCCACCGAAATTTGCTATGTTTTTATGAATCCAATATAATGCGGCTACTAGGTCTTTGAGACCGGCGTTGCCAGGTGCGTCCGATGTGCCCAGACATAGAAACCCTAGGGCACCAAGTCTATAATTAACGGTTATTACTAATACACTCTCTCGGAGAAGCCTCACAGGCGCATGGAAACTACCCCAGCTGAAAGTTGTGTAACATAATTAATTTAAACGATAAATGCGTGTTAAGTTAAACTTATTATCTTACATCATTCCCTACTCTATCAACCTGAGTGGGAGGGGGAAGGGATTGTTAGTAGTGGGAAGGCTAGTTCCCATTGCTATCAATGTACACTATCAGGTCGACCTCCACGCAGTTCCCCCTGGACCCTTCCCTGATTCCTTATGAATAATTTATCGTTGAATTCGCCAGGATGAGATAACTGACCTACGTTTTCATCCTCACTAATCATTCCTCACTGGTGCCCCGCCAGTGTATACTGATAGCGCATGCGGGGTTACCATTACATTATCATCCAATAAAAAACTCTACCATCCATATATTACAGAAATGTACATACATTAAACTGATACTTCTTATTATCGATTAGATTTCATTGGAAGCGTATCATAATTTGAAAAAAAAAGTCTTAAATTGTATGTTAACAACTTACCCCAAAATACAACTTCCCTTCATAACAATGTATTTCATTAACATAAAAATCATATCTAAGAATATATTTCAACAAGGGAATCAATTGATAATATTATTAAGTTAGTTAAAAAAATAATAATAAACTGAAAAATCATTATAAATTGTCATGAGTATATTGCGCTGTGTGCTATGAAGTCCCAACAAACCATCAAAGCATATATATAATCCCCTAAGTCTAAATTCTCAGGAAATAATTTCACAACCTACATCTAGTCTTAAAATATGGCGCACGCCATTAACATGCTGGTCATGTTTCGTTGATTACCCATATCGAACTGATCCGTCGTGAACCACCACCAGGACTGGCGAGGACTCCACATGCTCTGGTGTAAAGACGTTTAGAACAAGGCAATTCTCCACACCCTCGCCGTCAGGCTGAGGACATTTGACGCGGTGGGTCGCCTCGAAAATGCCGTCCCACCGGGCTGGTGGTTTTGGTGCCTGTAACAGAATCATACGACTTCGGTTACATAGCGGTTTAAACATTACTACACTGCTTCGTCTTCCGAAGATTGTGGGCAAATTCCCCTTCCAATATATTGGAGTATTTTTATGAAATTGGATGTTTTTTATGTTTTTGTTTTTTTTAAGTAATTATTAAAAAAATGGGTAGATCTGTTAGTTGTCTAGCAGCCATAAAAACTTGTCTGCATGGATACTTCAACCTTACCTGTGTTCCTACCATGAAGCAGCTTGCACACAAGTGTTTTGATTTGAAGGGATATAACAGTAAAATATACACGCGATGCCCATGTCTATTTTTTTATACAACTTAGAAAGGCAAATAAGCTGACGGCCCACCTGATGGAAAGTGTTAATCGTCGCCTATAGACATGAGCTATGGACATAACAGAGTATATTGTTTCGCCCATGGCACCTGCCATGCGTTGCCATTCTTGAGTACTCGGATGTTATTCCTCTGTACCCTGTAAATTCACGCCATATCCCACCCTTCAAACCGAAACACAGCCATGCGAACACAACTGCACAATGTAAAAACAACGGTAGAAACAGAAATGGGACTGAGGTACCCAAGTAATCGACTTTTGTACAAAGTCTCCCTCTGGTACACTATTCATGTCCATAAATGACGATTGTCTATATTAATGTTTTAAAAATAAAAAAAAAATTATTGTATATTTGTAACGGATAAACTCAAAAACTACTCGACCTATATTAAAAATTCTTTCACATATAAACAGTTACATTATTAGCAAGTGGCATTTTATTTTTTAACATTCTACCTACCCGTGCGAAGCCAGGACGTATCACTAGTTTCATATAAATACAGAACTGCCACACCCTCACGTTTATATCACGTGTACACTAGTGTGACTATATTCAACGGATTAAAAAAAAAGGAGTAGTTTCTGGATTGTATTTTGTTTTTATATTTATCACCTCAAAACTCCGTTATTTATGAGCGATTTAAAACATTATTCTTTTATCTGAAAAGATTTACTTACAGATACTTACAGAAATTTTATCAAAACCTGTTCAGTGGTTTGGTTTTCGAATCAAAATTACATTAAAAAAAAATTAAAATACAATTTTACCACGATTGAATTTAGTTTACCTTTTTTTTTGTGACTGTTTTTGTTGGCACCAGTGAGAGGTGATAGGTGAGGATGAAAGCAGGTCAGTTAGCCCATCGTGACGAATTCCACTAGAATTAACCTCTATGGTTTCCAGGGAGAGCCGCGTAGAGGCCGACCTGATATAATATATTGCTGGCAATGGGTCAGTTAAACTCCATTACTAACAATATTTAGTTGTACACTAGAGACAGACATGTAACGACCAGTTAGTTTTATATACATAGGTTCACTCGTATATTACTAGTTGTTGTTTCCTGTGACCTCATTTAAAGAAGATACCATCAACTTTCGCGTTCCAACTAAAACACATTCGATGTGATAACTATCTCGCAGCACCACAAATGAGGTTTGCGTCTATCAACAAATGAAGTTGACCTTAAACCTGTCGTAACGTGTGGGCGGCCCACCGTAGGGGAGACCGAGGAAGGCGTAGTGGGGCGGCTCGGGGTTGAGGTACCCTCGCACCACGCCCTGAGTAGTGCCCACGTCCCGGTGTGCCCTCGACGTCGGCCGGGCCGCTCGCCCCAACACGCCGGCTGACACTCCCGCCAACACAAACACTGCAAACATCGTCCGCCGCTCGCACTGACCAGTTGAACCATTCTACGAGCTCATTATACCCTGGTGCTAGCTAAGTGTCGTCAACATAGCTATCGGGACCTATAGCTCCTGCGACTAACATTATTATCAAAACATCTTACCGAGGAATCTAAACAATATACGAATTTGCTGTACTATAGTACAGATTAGTGTTCAGTGGGTGTACAGACAAAACAATATGAAGACTAGAAAGCATTTATTTGGTTAACACCACCTCACGCTTACGCTATGTGCTAAGGTAATATACATGGCTTAATTTCTTACTTCTCTATTGTCTAAAATACAAACTCGCTGATGTTGTTTAATTAATGTCCTATCTTTACGTACAAATAACAACATTTAGGTGATCAGGAATATTGGAAGAATGCTTAACGCAGAAATAGTGGCGGCAATAAGAAACGTATGAGGTGAATGCATCACAAATGCCAAGTTGCGTTCCACAAAGTGCGCTTTGTAGATATCGGTCCATAGTCTCAGCCGGTCCACGTGAATACCCTTCTGCATCTCTGCGTTGATGTCTAAAGACAGCCACTCTTCTTCTGTTTGTTCTGTCTGACTCAGCGTTTTCCACTCTTCAATCTCTTCTGCGGAAGGTATTCTAAAAAAAAATTAAACTATCATAAAATTAATAGTAGATGACCATAACATTGAAGTATAATTGCTACACATACGGTTTACTTTAGATTTATTTTTATTTTAAAGATGTGTGTCAACTAAATTGTTAGCCGCCGTGCTTATTACAAGTAAATTTTCCACTAATGTAATGAATTTAAAATAATCAAAATCTGTTAAAAGTTAGCAATATAAATATATAACAGCCACAAAATATTACAGACGGATTTAGAATCTCCTCGTCTTGGCAACCACTCCACAGTACACACACTGTGAAATGTGAATGTGAAAAAGACTCCATTTTCCGCGCTTAGTCTCTCACTTGGGCCATTGTGCGTATGAAGTACACACACTGTACAGTTTTTATTTGTATTTATCGAATTATAATGTACAAATTCAGCATCCATTACTAATTATTAAATTCAAGATAAACGTTAACTTTAATAATAAATTAAGAAAAAAATATTAACTTTAGAAAATTAATAACTAAAATATCTATTGCAGCACGCACTTCTTACCCGGACTCGATGTAGTTCACCCATAGTTTTGTTACCATGTCCACTATTTTATCCTCAATTTTGTCGTCCTTCTTTATCTTATCTTTCTTTATTATCTTGTTTAACTTCCCGGGATTCTTTGATACTTTTATATCATCTATCTCCTTAAATAAATATCCAATAATATCTCCACGCGCTGCTCCATCAATGGGACGTCCCAGGGATATTAATTGGCTATTCAATGTACCAACAAATGAAAATTCATATAGATACACTGTTGCTTCTGCTTCGACTAACGACCTTGCAAGGCGCACTAGAGGGCCTAAGTAGTTAGCATCTGTATAGTACAAAGATAATTTTTCCAGACCATCACTAGAAATAGTCTCATTATCGAAATATTGTGCCCTGATTTTATTTGCTACGGCGTCTTTTTCAGTTTGTCCTTTATCAAATGTTAGATCGTTTGGTAAAAACATTGAAAAATTCTCATTAAGCTGAGTGAAAGTATGTTCATCATTGTTGAGTGCTTCCTGTAAACCGGCATGATTAGCAGAACCAATCATAAATGTTTTGTAAATTTTCTCGTTATTTAATATATACCATGGACTGTTTGTTATAAATCCCTCTTCATTTTTTTCTACACATGGTCTGAAAGTTATATTACGCGTGTCTAAGAACAATGTTTCTAAATTTATATCATTAATGTCTTCAAGTTCTGCTAATTTTTCTGCAAATATTTCTGCCGTCTCTGTTGGACTTCTGTCTATCGCCCAGTGTGATAATACAGATCCGCTATCTGTTATTACTTTACTTACATAATCTCTAGATTTTGGCGATAATGCTAAATATTGTGCCAAAGCACCTGCTGTACCTTCTCCACTTACAACGATATTTGATGGATTACCACCGAACAATTCAATATTTTCTTTCGTCCAATTCAGAGCAAAAGTTAAATCTTTAAGTCCTGCATTACCTGGGGCTGTTTCGTTTTGCAGACATAAAAACCCTAAAGGACCCAATCTGTAATTGGGTAAAACTAATATAACTCCTTTATTTACTAAATGTTCAGGTTCATACAGAGAAGGATTGCCGCTGCCAGAAGTAAAATTCCCATCGTGTATGTGAAATAAAACGCTCGCATTTTCAGCGTTGATTGTTTTAAAAATACTCAGAGTCAAACAGTCAAGATTTGTAATTATCTCAGAGTTCCCTTTTAATTGCGGACACATTATATTGTGTTCGTCATTATTAATAAGGTCCCACGGGACAGGGGGCATGGGTGCCTGAAAAAAAATATATATTATACTTCAAAATTTTGAAATATGGTGATATTTAAATACGTTTGAGGTGTATTCTATAATTCTAGAATACACCTTAAACGCAATTTTTTGTATTTGTAATTTTGGTAACTAAAATCTTAAAAAGTATTTACTATGTCAATACCATATATGACCCAAATTACATCTGTAATTGATTGAAAGAATTTTAATAAATTAGGGAGATCATTTTGAAGAAACTCCAAATAGCTTTTCCCTGAATTACCGGAGAATTTAACAGGGATTTTATTAGAAGAGGTTTCCGAGGAGCTTAAGGAATCGTATTGGCTGCAAAATGACGACTGTCCTGCACGTTTGCGTATTAAAAAAAAAACTGCAATAGCTAGTCATACTATTCACTTTCTGTCTATCAGGACAGTTAGTGTATAATAATAAAACAACAAAAAACCAATAGAATTCATTCATTTCTGGTCATAGTGATCAGGACAGTAAAATAAGATAGAGAAAATTTACTTTTGATATATTAAACTTATGATATATGATATATTTAACTTATGATATATTTTGTTTCGTATTTTTTTAGGACGGCCATATCTTGAACTATAAGACGTTTCAAGGTTATCTATTCATTACCGGACACCTGTATATATTCTCTTCTACCCGTGAGAAGCCGGGACGGATCGCTAGTTTCTAAAATTAATAAGAATAAAAAAGAAAAAACATCGTCGGCTAAATGTGATTTCTAAACTGTAATATTTTTTTATAATAATAATAATAAGCTTTAACGTATACAATTTTAGTTTAAAAAAGTTACGGGGTTTGCAAATTTAGCCAACAATATTATTAATTGTACGTATTTTATTAAATAATTATTATAATGAATAAGTAATATTAAAAAAAAATACCTGAAATAGCTTTTCAATTTTTCCGTAAGGTATATCTATGAACCCAAGTATATCAAGATCCTGTTTCCAATGTACACCGCGTACTTTCCCCTGACCAGGTATTTCGACTTCATCATATTCATCATCTGGATGTTCATCGTTATTTTTATTTCCTGGAGACGACAAAACTTTACCAATAATAAAATAAGTACAAAACAATTAACGGTCGCAGGAGTAAGAACGAGACATTGCGTATCACTGTCTCGGTCTATCTCGTAAAGTCGGTAACAATTTCAATTCTCTCGATAGATTCATTTGTCACTTTAGCTAGTCCTGTGTATCAATGTGTAATTATATTACCTGTATCGATGTCGCTGTTTGTATCATCTGTTGAAACTGTGTTATCTGCTAAAGTCGACCGCACGTGTATGTCTTTGTCGATATTCAATTGCTGTGAATGGCTTCTTGACAACAGCGTAGCAGTGATCAAAAGTAGTTTCCATATCATTTTTATAGTTTTATCCTTCCAATGTTATATTTTCCTAGAAAACGATATTTACAAACATGTTAATCGACTTAAGATACTTATGATGTTCCGTTCGCATTTTTTTTATGTTTTTCCATAATATCATCGGCAAATGAACCGATTTGGATTCTTTTTTGCAATTACTACCGTCGGGGGGAGGAATTGTTAGTAATACAGACGTTAATCTCTATTGTTAGCAATATGCCCTGTCAGGTCGATCTCTACACGGTTCCCCCTGGAAACCATCGTGACTAATTATTGTTAAATTCATCGCAATGGGCCAACTGACCTGCTTCCATCCTCATCTATCATCCTTCACTGGTGTCCTGCCAGTGTACATTAATAGCATGGGCGGATATACCATTGTATTATCACCCATTTAAAAACTAAGATTACCATCGTCTCGATCCCATCAAATTTATCATGATTAAAGTAGTATTTTTTTGTCAACCGCAGTGTTAAATTATACAAGGATAAAAAGTACCCTAATCTTCTTCATCCCCTATAGCACGTGTATAATAAATTTAATATTGATCGGTTTAGCCTTTAAAACACATGCACATTCATAATACTGGTAAAGATGAGCGTTTTAATGTTTATCATAACAAGAAAAAATATAAATGCTTAACACGTAAATTGTTTATAAAGGCAAATGAAGGAATATACGTAATCTTTTTCAGAAAGTAGTTCAGCGTACGATAGGGTTGATATACCTGAAGAAGGTAAAAGCCCTTAAAAATAATTAAAAAAAAACACACAGTCCATTCTGATATATCTTACATCCATACTTAACACACACAAACATACTACACGCCGTCACCTGATGTTTTATGAGTACTAGTAAAAATTACCACCAGCTTGTTTGCCATACTAAGTTACATAAAAAAAAGAATTATTACCTTAGTTCGCAATTAAACAATGTGCTAAGAAAACGTGTCATTTCGTTTTCTAAAACAGATCAAGCAAAAATGTTTTTGAAGTGCTACACACACGTAAAATAGTGTGTGTGTGTAGTGGAATGTATTCTATTATGTCCATGATGCTTCACGTCTATCTATAGGCAACTATTAGGCAACTTTACATCAGACGGGCCGTCGGCTTGTTCGCCATTTTCAGTAGTATAAAAAATATTTCATTTAATAATCTTTAATTTATTGTAATAGTCTAATGCCTTTTTTTTTTAATTCAAGTCTTTTTTTATTGTTATTTCTGTATTTAAAGTACTTACCAACATATGTGCACGCAAAACGTTCCGCTCCGCGTCGGAACAGCCGGCAAACGAAACGGCGCCGCTGATATCGTTCGATTCGCCCTTAAATCGATCACTCTCACTGTACAGGTGTCGACAGTATTAAAAAAAAAAACAAGAATTTTTCTTATTGATATAACAAATGCAACTCTTATATACATTTTTAGATGTGAAATGTGAATCACAATATGAGAGTAGACTCAAGACCCTTCATACCGAAGAATATTATCTTGTAGTAACATTATTATCAGTTTTCATAACAATTAAACATTTTTTTTTAATATTCTTAATTGATTATATAATAATAGTCATTAAAAAGCTCGTGCAGTATCGAATAACACCATGCACATTGATTATTCAAGTAATTGTTTTGTAAGCTTTGATCAATAAGTGTTTTTAATAACAGTTTTAAATTTATTTAAAGGTAGATCCAAAATTCCCTTTGGTATTTTATTATAACATTTAATTTCCATTCCCGTAAAAGATAGATAGATAGATACTCTTTATTGTTTCCTCCAAAAGATTACAATAGTTAACTTATTATAAATATAAATAATTACAAGAAATAATCACAATGAGAAAACAATGGGCGACCTTATCGCTAAGAGCGATTCTCTTCCAGGCAACCTTTGGATGGAGAGGAGTAATTATAAACAATTTGGTGGGAGGCACGATAAAATTCTATTATTTCTGAAGACCTATCTATTAATCTAATAAAAATAATATTAGGTGTACACAATACCATAATTTTTTCACGCGACAGTATTCGGAGCTTCACATTACAGATTGCCAGTATCAGTGATAAGTACATCAGTATCAGGCAACAGCCAGATAACGCTGCTTTCATGTTTTAGATGTTGGGTTTTAGATGCTTTTTATTGAAATTGTAGTTTTGTCCTTCTGTATTATGAAGTGGACTGAGTAGTATGAGACTGACGTACAAATAAAAATAGATTCATCGAAATAACAATTTATTTTTACAAATTTTGAGATTTATAAAATTAGTAGTAGGTAGGATTTTGAGATTTTTTTTATACAACTTAGAATGGCAAACAAGCTGACGGCCCACCTGATGGAAAGTGGTAACCGTCGCCTATAAACATGAGCAGTACCATGGACATAACAGAGTGTACTGTTTCGCCCATGATACCCCCCCATGCGTTGCCATTCCTGAGGATTCAGGTGTTATTCCTCTGTACCCAGTAAATTCACGCCATATCCCACCCTTGAAACAGCTATGCAAACACAACTGCTTTACGGTTGAAACACGAATGGGACAGAGGTACTCAAACAATCGACTTTTGTACAAAGTCTCCCTCTGGTAAAAATTGATGGTATTATAGCAAAATATTTTTTCAAGCTCAATTGCTTTTTCGGCATCTCACTTTTATAATATAATATAAATATTATGTTTCGATCAACCGTTGTACGGTTGCCATCAAAAGTCCGTAAACATTTCAGTTTCAGAACTGGCGCTAACAGTAATCAGGTCTAGGTTCCCGTTGCTAATAATATACTCGGTCAGGTCGATCTCCACGCGGTCCCTCCGGTCACCATTCATTTATTGTGTCAATTAATATGACTTCATTCGCTGGAATGGATCGATAGTGCAGGCGGAGATACCATTCCTTTTTCATCCATTAAAAAATCTTTCTGAGCTACATACGTAGGTAACGGAGTTTAGATTTTGGAAATTATCCACTTTTGACGCTAACTCTACATTACAATTGAACGTCATATCTTCCATATAAAAATATAAGCAGAATTTAAAAAAAAAATTGTTTATAGATATATGTTTATATTGTTACAGGTAAGCCCATGGATTCATAGATAATGTAAACATCAAAGGTTAGATTAAAAACACACATGGTAAAAGGTGAGTTATGGTATTATACATGTTCAATTTATTATCCGAAGTGTCTTTCCGTGAATACAAAAAAAGGTAAAGTTCTCGAACGATATGGCTAGCAACAGTTTGTTAAATATGAAAAGGTTAAACTTATTGGAGGAAGATACGTGCAATAGGAATAGATGGCGCCACGTGTTTAGGGAAGTACACCTTGAGTAACTGGAAAGGGCAAGGCAGAGGAAGAAGAGGGATTTATTGTACGGAAAGAAATATACATTAAACCAATAAAAAAACCCATTTAAATTATAAAAATACTTTATTTGATAACACACGCGACCCCATATAATATGGGGTTAAACAAAAAAATCTACATATAAAAAAATACACCTACAGTACCGTCTTCATTATTTTTTTGTGTATTTTTGTTTTTTTTTTTTTTATAATGAATGTACCATAAATCTTATGGAGGAAACAATAAAGAGTATCTATTTATTTAGCACACATCGCAAAATAAAAATAAAATAAAATGCTCTGTATGTATATATATATATATATATATATATATATATATATATATATATATATATATATATTTTTTTTTATTTTATTTATTCATAAACAAAAATTTGTATTTGAATGTTATACAATAATTTCATACACTATATAAAATATAAATTAAATCAAGCATAAAACAAATATTATAGTCACTTATCATATATATATATATATATATATATATATATATATATGATAAGTGAGTATAATATATGTTTTATGCTTGATTTAATTTATATTTTATATAGTGTATGAAATTATTGTATAACATTCAAATACAAATTTTTGTTTATGAATAAATAAAATAAAAAAAAATATATATATATATATATATATATATATCCAAATCGGTTTAAAAATTACCGATCTATGAGGTAAACAAATAATTCAACCGAATGTAGAGCCTCTTTCTTTTTAAAGTCGGTTGAAAAAGTGTGGCATTGTTGAGACCTACGCCATTAGCCGTTTTCCTCAAATACGAAATCAATCAGATAATATGGATATGTATAATAATATATAATATATATGTAATATATGCCGAGAGTAGCTCAGTCGCAGTATTGACCTTTAAATTAAAAAATTAAAGCAAATGCTGAAATCATACGCATGGTTTAGCACTACCTAGATTGTAACTCGGAGGTATTATTTTCATACACAAGATTCATTTCGCTGTAATGCGATTTCGCGAATAATAAAACTTCTCATAAATTTCATCCCACATTTTCTGAGCCTTCCTATAAGGGTATTCCATCATCACGACCTCTGTACTGATGTCCAGTAATCGAGGATTTGAAGGGTTCACTGTCTCCCAATGAGGCAAGTCGCTGGGTTGAGGAGTAGGATTTCTAAAAAAAAATATATGCTGTTCTGTACTAGAAGAGTTCTGCAGTGTATTTTATAATAATAAATGGGCTGTATTAAAATTTTTAAACATATTTCTTTTACTATATATTTGGAAGTGGCGATGCCATTCTAGTAAAGAAGTGTAAAATCGGTTCAGAAGTGATGACGTAATCACGTAACATAATCACAAAAGAATACGAACAAATTGTGAAATTTCTCCTTTCAGAAACATTTAAAAATAATTAATAATAATATCCATAAATAACAATACTTACAAATATTTAACAAAATTGGACCATAGTTGCACCATTCTCTGTTGTACAGCCACATCCTCGCCATCTAAGACCTCATTGGAGAACAGATAAGCCAACTCGTCGGAGTGCGCTGCTCCCATCTTCACAATTCCCGGCTCAGGCTTTACTCCAGCATTTCCCGTGTAAGAGAACTGGTAGTAATACACTGAATGATCGGAAGCTGATGCGTGCAGAGACACACTTCTATGTATATGATTTACGAAATAAGCATCCCTGAAAACAAAATCACCATAATTACAATTATTAATTTCAAATATATTTAATTTCACAGTTTCCAGTTTTTCGTTTCTTTTTTGTTTTTAGTTGTGACAACTAAAGAATAATAGAACAGTAAAATTGATGTATTGATTTATGATACTTTCGCGCTTTCCTTGTCACCAGAATGAAACCAAGACAAAAGCAAAACATGAAGTTCTATTCGATAGTCAATTATAAAAAAAAATGTGGCTTTTATTAATTAATTATTCGAAGTTAAGACATTACAATCGGTTGATACATGTAATTAGTGTATTAGTTACTGTTATGTATGTTACCTGTGATATATTAACATAGCTGCCAAACTTGTATTATCTTTGAAATACATATCTTCAATTTGTTTGAACACCTGCTTCAGTTCCCACTCATTCATGAACTTTAATTCTTCTGGTAATAGAAAGGACAAGTCTTTAGCCAGTTTTTTTCGTACATTCGCTTGTCTTAACATTGACACAAATACGTAAGCTTCCTCGCTATTGTGCCCTATCATCATAGGCACCGATCGATCTTTTCTTTTAAGCAATTCAAACGGTGCGTCTCCTAGTAATCGCCCTTCATTTTTAGAAGATTTGTCTACGCTTATCCCAAATGGAAAATACGGTGCATCTAATTTATCACATTTTGAAACTAATTCTCCAATATCACTGTTTATTAAAATAGAGGAGATGTTATCACTACTAGAGATTAGTTTGCCTAAAGCCGTTGCCCTTTCTATTATGTCGTAATTAAACGCCCAAGGGCTCATAATGCTTCCGCTTTGCAATATAACTCCATGATATAAGTTATGTGATATGGGTGACAGCATCAAGGCTTCGACCATAGCTGCGCCAAAACTCTGTCCAGCGACCACGACTTTGTTCGGATTACCTTTGAATGCGACTATATTGTCTCTAACCCATTGCAAAGCCAAAATCACGTCTTTAACTCCAGCGTTTCCTGGTATTTTTTCGTTATTCATTCCAAGAAAACCGATTGGGCCAATTCTGAAATGTAGTAATTTATATTTTCAAATAAAATAATCGTAGATTTGTAATTTTACAATCATTTTGAGGTATGATAGGTTTTATAAACTTCTTCCAAGAAGTCTTTACACACCTATGACTAACAATGACAACAATTATGTCATTCCCGACTAGTTTACCCGGATGATACTGGCCACTCCCGCCTTTCACCCAAACTAGTACTGGCCACGGAGAATTAGTTTTTGCAGGCACGTGGACATCCAAGTGCAAACATTCTTCCGGCCTGGAGCTTAACGTGCAGTGACGTTGTTGCGATTCTCGAACCCCTCTCCAGGTCGGCGCAACACCTCCTTTCTGAAATAATATTCATTGAAGTATTGCTTATAAATAGTCTTTATGTAAATAAATGTAGATAAATTAGAGGATGTATGTACGCGGCTGATACTTTATTAAAAAAAAATTAGTTAGTTATATGGGGAGGTCATAATAAAGAAGCTAAAAGAAAATTTTTTAGAACGTTTGTATACTTGGACGTCACGCAAAAAATACTGCTTCAAAATGCATTAGGTTTTTACATTTGTATTCCTGAAAGTCTAATATAAAATCTGATGTCTGTTTTACCTTGATGTATCAAGATACCATCTACAAGTGGTTACCTACTTCCAAAATCCACGCATACGAAATTGCGGTTAAAAACTAATATTAAATCATATAAATCTATTCATTTGATATCACGACTAACTTTTTATATCCTAGTCAAAGTGCAGTTATAAAATATAAATTTAAATAGTGCTGTGCTACACAACACTCACTTGAAACCTCCCTGCAGAACTATTGATTGTGGCATAAGGAATACCACTGTATGACACGTATCCATCCATCGGTATACCTCTCAGCTTGCCCTGAGCTGTGTTTATCACACGTTGACCAACGGTAGATACGATTACAGTCAATAAAATAAATTTCCACATGCTTATTTATTAATTTTCTTCATATAAAAAGAAATTGACTTCACAACGTACACGCAAGCAAAATATACTGGATCTAGAAATTTGAAAATTCTCAAAAAACCATTGTCACCTTGCTGTCACACTATAGTCTAATACTCGTAAAAGACGTTGAACTACTGGTTATTATACACTGTGATGTCATGAAGATTTATTTGGGAATAAACAGGTGTTTTTATTTGCGTATAAAGTTAAATTCACTAGAATACTAACAGCATCAACGTATGCCGTTCCATCTAGATATTTAGATGGTATATCACCATTGGTGGCTTCCATAACAATATAGGTTCCTGTGTGGCTTATAATTCAGCAATGTTTTCAATTTACAACTATCATAACATCGCTGCAATCACCACTTTCCTTTTGTTCACTTGTTTTGTTGACATTTCTATTAATACTTGTTGGAACGTTGTGGATAAGCTTAACCTTTGCCTAAAATCTTGATTCTGCTACATCTATCACATCTCTATATTTAGAACTAACAGAATTTTTCATCGTGCCTCCCACCAAACTGTTTATAATTACTCCTCTCCATGCAAAGGTTGCATGGAAGAGATCGCTTTTAGCGATAAGGTCGCCCATTGTTTTCTCATTGTGATTATTTCTTGTAATTGTTTATATCTATAATAAGTTTACTATTGTAATCTTTTGGAGGAAACAGTAAAGAGTATCTATCTATCTATCTGCTAGAACATCATTTATATATCTTTTGTAATCATTATTGTATTTCTTTTGTCTTTTAATATATATGTTTTCATGTATATGTTTCATAATTTGTATACCTCAATGTCTCATACATTGATACATAGAAGACTTATCTTCTTTTACCATTCATTGTACATATGTATCACAAAATAAATAAATGTAATTAAATCATTGATAAGTTCAGTTATTTAATTTCATTTATTTATTTTGTGATACATATGTAGATATCAATTAAGTTCAGTTAATCAAAGGAAAATCTATTTGGTTGTATTTTTTTTTTCGAAACGTCAAGATAATTCATATAATTTTATTATATAATAATATACAATATATTATATAATAAATAATTATTAACTGTATTTACTATTTTATAAATGGTACAATAAAGTGTAAAATAAATAAATTTAAAAATAAATTATTATAGTTTAAATACCTTAATGATCGCATTAAATCCCATCTCTTATAAAGCATAAACGGAAAAGTGTAAGTTTTTTTTTTTTTTTATTATTTTAGTTACCTCGTAACTCCGTAAGTTATAAACCGATTTAAAAAAATATATACTTTCAAATTCGATTCAGTAGTTTACTTTTTAAATCTTCAGAGGGAGACTTTGTACAAAACTCGATTGCTTGGGTACCTCCGCCTCATTCGTCTTTCTACCGTGAAGCAGTTGTGTTTGCATGGCTGTGTTTCGGTTTGAAGGGTAGAATATGGCGTGAATTTACGGGGTACAGAGCAATAACATCTGAGTCCTCAGGAATGGCAACGCATGGGAGGTATTATGGGCGAAATAGTACACTCTGTTATGTCCATGGTACTACTCATGTCTATAGGCGATGGTTACCACTATCAAAATAACTAATTTTGTCACAATTAAGGTTGGTTTTCTATTTATAAAACTCAAAAAACTATGAAGTTAATTAATAAAACAGTTGAATTAAAACCTTCCACCTTTTGTAAGTCGTTTAAAGGTAAGTGATCATCAAATTAAACATGGTGATACGATTCCACACTTTTATTTCGTGCCATTTATTAGTATCCGGGCATATTGTGTGTCGTTTCCTCAATCAAAGCAATCACAACGTACACACTACATATTTTACACATGTAATATAAATAATTATAATTAATTTTATCAGTCCTACTTCGGAATAAATAAATGCCACAAAGACTGAAGCTTATGTAAGTAATCGTAATGTATTATGATTCATAATAATTTATTCATTATTTTATTTATACATAAACAAAAAGAAATCAGTTGTAAGTTATTGAAAATCAGCTAGTAACGCATCTTCTATTTTTTATTACCTATTCAGCCAAAATCACAGTTATATATAATAATTAAGTTATTACCTACATAATAACTTATTAAATAAATACAAGACTAGCATCCTTATTTAAAGGATATTTCGAAAGAATTTGTCTACAATCCATTTTTTTATTTGTTTTGACAATTTTCGTGTTTTCTTTAATAAATATAGTGAAATAACAGTCTATACGATAAAAAAAAATGTTTTAAGTGTATTTTTTTTTTCGTGTTTTCAATTCAGTACTATTATTGTAAATCTAAACTGACACTTTACATTTTACGCTACAATACAGTTCTGTAGTATAAATATATAATTTTGTCTCCTCAAAGATAAAGGAAAATCTATTTTCATTAAAAGAACAATTAAGAAAAAATAGATTATACCTGAAGCTTAGTAATTTAAACGCTGCTTTGATCAATATCATCAAGAGATACTGCTGTTATTAAGAAACTATATGTCACTCTCCGTCTGAATATATCACAAATACAATTCCTACAGCCACTGATCATACTTCCAGTTATTTACGAGTACTGTTGTTAAGTAGTAAGTCTTATTTCAAATTAATAATATATTTACAATACGATAGCACTTATTTAATTGGTCTATTTGTATTTAATATTGTTTCTTTATGGTTTAAGTATATTCTAATATTTTTCATACATAATAACAGAATAGATTCATTTTGCGATTGCGTGCTTATCGATTATTATCGGCACCGCCAGTTCGCACCTATACTGCTCAGTTTGCTCCCACTTCTCAGGCTATTTCTCTGCTCAATTCTCTGATTGCTCAGCGGCCAGATATTGACATATTTAATGACAAACTAGATATATTTTTAAAATGTTGTACAAAATTTGTAAATATGTAAGTTTTTAATTTTTTTCCTCTTAGCAAAAATTTACAAGTAGTAAATAAATAAAAAACTACATAGAAAGTACACTTAGAGTTCGTATCACACGCTACGTATAACATTAGACCATAAACTGCTCTGAACTTTACATAATATTGCTGACAAACTGACATGAATCCTTAATAACCGTATCCCTAACTTGTTATATACAAAATTAATGAGTGATCCCAAATATATTTAGATATTGGTCACACACGATATTCTCAATTATGATTTTCATATACCACCTGACGATATCCATTAGTAAATTGACGCCTTCATCCTGTCCCCGAACTAATTACTTCATTACATCTTAAACTTAGTAGTAATTGTACAAACTAAATTATGAACCCTCTAAAGGATTTTGCAATTTCAAAATTGTTATCGGCGCAATTCTCATCCTAAGAGAGTAGAGGACGTTACTGTCCCACCTATTCTGCCACTAAGCAGTTTGCTCACATGCTGTGTTCTAGTTTGAATCAAGTTCTTCACCCTGCAAGTGTTGACGACGCGCGTAAGCTGTCGTTCTCAGACTTCAGTAGTCACTGCCCATAGTGAATCCAGCTCATGTTGTAGCAGTCATATCTATACCATTAGTCGGATCATCCAAACTTATGAACCGCCTTCCCACTCTTGTATTATAAATAAATCTGAAATTACGTTCTTGAAGTCATCTCTCTGATCATCACCAGCTTATCTCTTACTTAACAAATTTTATCACAACACATTTAATCTAACATTTCCACCTGAATGGCCTTTGGTTGCACGTTCATTTGCTGTTAACTAGAGAATCGAAGAAATTCTTCATATCTCGGAGCTTGTCTGATGCGTTCTCGTAGTAATAAAGTCCAGGGGTACCGATGTTTTGGTATTTCAGTTCACCCTCTCTCAGTGCCGGCCAGACGTTGTCCTCTTCATACACACTGTTTGTTGGTTGGCTGCAATTATAGAAAAAAAGTCTTCATCTATGATCCTTGGATTATCTTTACTGTATTTATCTGAAACTAAAGTCCACGTTTCCCGGGACATGTTACATTCAATGTATTATTAACATAATCATTGAAAATATTAATATACGATCAATCAACTAGTTCTATATTTACAATTTACATCTAAATATAATGTGAAACTTCATTCTGAATTATTCCACGGGAATATTTTATCAAAATGTATTCTTATATCAAAAATTAATCTGTCTATGTACTTAACCTGACAATAAATCAGTTCAGCAGTTATTGTATGATTAACTAATAAACAAGTGCATTTTTAGTTCAGGCTATATTTTAATTGAAGTCCCCTTTAATGTTTATGTTTTTAAAGATAATATAATTACCTCGTATATACGAAATTCGTAAAGAACGCCGTCAACCACTCTTTCATGGGCTCTTGGTAATCTTTGGAAATATAACTTTCCCTGCCCAAAATTGAATTAGATCGAAAAATGTATGTTAAGTCTTCTATATGTCCTACTCCCTTAAAGCTTATTCCAAGACCTTCTTTTATAACACTGTGGTCATTATGATAGGAAAACTGATAGAGAAATACAGGAGCTCCTCCAATACTGGCCCTAGTTGTGGCTAATTTTATAGCAGGATATACGAAATTGCTATCAGAACACAGTCTTACGAAGTCATCCATATTCACAGTTCCATTGAAATATCTGTCATGAATCGCATTTGATATTCTTTGGACATCGTTCGATTGCATTGTATAAATCAATTGAGCAGGAACTACCAGCATCGGATGTGTGTTTATCTGTGATATTATATCGACAGCCTCAAATCTACTTCTAAATGTTTCACACTCTGCATCTGTGAATCCTATAACTATAGGGATATCTTTTCCACGTCCCTTAGATACCAAAACCTCTGGATCGTCGGCCACAATTCTAGTTATTCCTGGTAGCGGTGATTCAACGACTGGAACGAAGGTGGTCAAGCCTAGAAGGTCCAACATATAACCATTGGCATCAACGATTTTCTCAAGTGGAATATTGACCAGTTGTCGATGAATGTCCTCGGGGTCTGTAGAGTTGATACCCAAAACGGTGAGCAGGGTGCTGGCCACAAATTGTGCGTATGCTGGGGTGGTGGTGAAGAAATTTGTTGGGCCCGTGCCACTCATTATCCATATCCTGAAATAAATTAGGTACAGTTCAGGGTTTGTAACTCTTTTTCAGGTTATATATTATCAGGTTGTCATAAATGTGATCTATTTTAATTGATTTTCTTCTGAAATCCACGCGTACAAAATAGCGGTCGTAAAGTTAATTAAAAAAAAAAGAAATTTCTACTTCGAATCATGATAACATCTTTCATAAATCAGGCTTGAGATTCGAGGCAATTTAAAAAAAAGTTAGTTTTATAAGGTGGCCCGACTGCAAAAGCTAATATACTATAGAAATATACTAAACTAGCGGCCCGTCCCGGCTTCGCACGGGTGGACATTTTTACATTTTAAAAAGTGGCCATTAAGGCTGCACACGCGACGGAAGCTTAAAAATGGAGTAATCTCTCCCGTTTTCCCAACATTTCCCTTCACTGCTCTGCTCCTATTGATAGTAGCGTGACGAAAAGTATACTATAACCTGCCCAGGAGTATGAAGAATAATTGTACCAAGTTTCGTTAAAACCCGTCGAGTAGTTTTTGTTTCTATAACGAACATACAGACAGGCAGACAAATATTTTACCGATTGCATTTTTGGCACCAGTATCGATCACTAATCACCCCCTGATAGTTATTTTGGAAATATATTTCATGTACAGAATTGACCTCTCTACAGATTTATTAGAAGAAGATTACAACTAACATTACTCCTACAAAGCGTATTAGCTTAATACGGGTATAACCTACCGTTTGAACAATCCTTCTGCCGCATCAGACATTGAAAGCAGATGAGCACTGGCGGCGCCCGCGCTCTGGCCGGCCAGCGTCACGTCGTTAGGATCCCCGCCAAAAGCTCTCGCGTTTCTCCTCACCCATCGCAGCAGTGTCACCATATCCCGGAGCCCATTGTTCCCAGGGACACTTGTAGTGTTCAGGGATAAAAAGCCGAATACATTTAGTCTGCAAAAACAAACGGTTACTTGCTTTAATGATGCAAAATTCTTGATAGTCCAAAGTCTCTTGGTTTATTCGAAATCTTTAAATGTTGTCACTTAGAAAATAAGTAACGTCTGGGGAGTCTGAGATCTTGGACTATGTTCTTTAAAGCTTCAAGTTGATAATTTAAGGATTTATAATTACTTACATAATAATTACTTACTTATTTACATTTAATTTTAAAATATTTAATTGTAGTATAATTTTATGGTTCCAATAAATAAATGTTTTTATGATTCCATTATTGATTATTGATATACTAATGTTTTTAGTATTTTGGCCGCGTCAAACCATTTTTATTTGAACTTTTTTTTACTCTGTCTAAAAATAGTACATGAGTGTTTTTTTTTTTTTTTTTTATTTATTTTGCTGCAAATATAAAAATTTAAATGATTTGTTTGGGTTGATGTGAGTGTGATTTGGTTGATTGGGATGAGTCGATGGCTGTGTTTCGGTTTGAAGGGTGCGATATGGCGTGAATTTACTGGGTACAGTGGAATAACATCCGAGTCCTCAGGAATGGTATCATGGGCGAAACAGTATACTCTGTTATATCCACGGTACTGCTTATGTCTATAGGCGACGGTTGCCACTTTCCATCAGGTGGACCGTCAGCTTGTTTGCCATTCTAAGTTGTATAAAAAAAAATTATAATCTTTCACTACAACATAATCATATTACAATTTTAATATTTTTTCTGTATTATCCAATTCATAGATTTATCGTGAATTATCTTCAGGAAAAAGGTAAATAAAGGATTTTTAATAAAGCTATTAAGTCATATTATCAGATAGTTAAAATAACTAGTCATTGTCTGAAGACGGATCATTGACTCTCGGACGTGATTAAAGGTATATACAACCAAGGTCGATGGACGGCACGTGTAAAAGGACAGGTGGACCGAAACACTGTCATAAAGTAAGTCATAAGTTGTACAAACAAGATACACGCCGTTTACACTAATAATAATGACACGGATATACATATGAGTGTGGTCAAGGCGACGAGCCATCCCAAAAATAATGCGACAATTGACACTACATCTTAATGTACAGAAAATTAAGTCGCCTCTAGCGACCGTTATCACTTCAGAGGTTATTAATATGTCTCTATTTCATTTAGATTTATTTATACGTTGTAGCTTCCAAAGATCATTTAAAACCAGTTCAAACCAGAGTTGGGATCTTAAATTATATGTGTACATACTACTGCTAAATAGGAGTGTATCACTAATAGACACATACAAAAACAGTTTATATACGTTTTTTTGGGACCTATTTTGTTACTTAACGCTTCATCTAAGTGTATGTTTAGACTAAATATAACTTTGTCAAAAACAGGATACTGGAACTTCCAAACGATGGACGATCAGTCAGACGGACTTAGACTCATTTAACGAGCACTAAAATGGTTTTAGCCGTGCCATCATAGAAGTTTCCGCTGGTTAACAATTCACCGGTCACTATTAACAAAATCAGATACCTAATGTCAAACGGCAACACTGTTAAATGACCGTTTTAGACCCAACTAAGAGAGATTCTTAATAATGGTAAGAGATAAATAAACACTTTGAGCCATTTATGACACACGTAAATGACCAAATGAGTTTATACAATCAGATTCTTTAAATTTTTTTTTAAATATAAATAAAAGATGAAATATGGAAATATGTTTTCACCAAGTGTATCGCAGTGACCCAAATAGGCTACAGCTCAGTGATAGTTTTGCTTAAGAGCAAAGCACTGATTTTCAGCTACAGCTTGACGTTAGGCTACACGGGCGCGTACAACAAACGCAGAGTGTAACCTGTGTAGCCAATTTAACAGCCAAAGGTAAAATAGTATTATATAGATACATACTTACATAAATGATGCATAAATAATATAATTATTATACTTATAATTATTTCAAAAATATCACTGTGTGTGTGTGTGTGTGTGTTTTTTTTATAGTGCTTTCAGTATGTATAAAGAAAACTAAAGTCGTACCTGTAATTAAACGTTATCACAATGACCCGCTTGCTGATCAAGTACTCAGGGCCGTGCAGGTCACTGTCCCCAGATCCAAATGCGAATCCACCTCCATGGATGAATACCACCACAGGCAGTCCGCTCGGAGCGTTTTCTTCAGAGTCGAGACCGCTTTGATAGGGAGGTTCCAAACCGATAACCCGGTCGTGGTAATCAGGCAAGTTTTCAAGAGGTACATGAATGTTTGCATGTATGCACTCCTCGCTCATTGCTCGCGGTTGCATGATGCGGCCGTACAAAACGTCGCGCTGCGGACAAATGGGGCCCTCCTCTGTCGCATCGTACAAGCCGCGCCAACGCTCCACAGGTTGCAGCTCCTGAAAATGTTAACAGTTGGCAATTTAATACAACTCCAATTATTATTATGGTAAAACTGTATGATATTTAATTAATAATACAAGTCATTTGTAAGTTGGTTAATAAAACTGCTTAGTTTCTTGCGGCTTCTTGTCGCTTACCATAGGGAGACTGTACAAAAGTCGATTGCTTGGGTACCTCTGTCCCATTCGTGTTTCTACCGTGAAGCAGTTGTGTTTGCATTACTGTGTTTCGGTTTAAAGGGTGGGATATGGAGTGAATTTACAGGGTACAGAGGAATAACATCCGAGTCCTCAGGAATGGCAACGCGTGGGGGGTATCATGGGTGAAACAGTATACTCTGTAATGTCCATGGCACTGCTCATGTCTGTAGGCGACGGTTACCACTTTCCATCAGGTGGGCCGTCAGCTTGTTTGCCATTCTAAGTTGTATAAAAAAAAAGATAATAACATCTGTAAGCCTCGTCAATTCTGAACTCTTGTTTTATTTTGCAATTGGTAATTTATGATACATGTTGCTTCCATATTAGTACTTAAATTGTATTTTTTTCTTTGTAGAGGAAAACCAAAGACAGAACATTGTTTTTAGAAACAAAGTCTGCAGTGCCTTTTTTGCTACTAAAATTCAAATATATACATTTGTTTTTCTGGTCGAAGTCTCCTTTTTGCATAGCAAAATATACTAGCCTTTAATATTTACCTTAAACCTGAGTTCCCCAAGGGGCTGCTTAGCATATGGCACTCCTCGAAAACTGGCGTACTCGAGTCCATTTTCCCCCAGCCGCCGGGAGCCGCACACCCAGCCGGCCTCGGTGCACGCGCGCACCGAACACTCCGGCACGTCGGGACGGGCATGGGCATTTGCTGTAACATATACATATATACTTATATATAGTACTTACATATATACTTTTCATTTAAGAGTTTCCTCTTGTCGGTGCAACTAATTCATGCATCTTCTTCCAGCCAGTTCAATCCCAGGCCATATCCTTGACCTCCCTATACGACATGACATCTAGCGTCTCCTTTATCTCTCCATGTAGTTATTCCTCAGTCTCCCTGTTTTGCCCTCTATTTTTCCTTCTACAGAAAATGCTTCTCAAGGTACGTATGATGTGTGAGTCGGTAACATGGACACAAACACGCATCTCTTTTTAATACAGATTCTTAGCACCAGCCTCCCTACGTAAATTTCGCGAAAAATATAATCAATGTATAGAATTGTCAACCTTTACGATTTTAATAAAGATTTTCATAGATAATGCGGGCGTTGTCAAACATCGCTATATGCTCGTTCGTTCATGTAATACCTGCCTTCCAATAATTAGCACGTCTCTAATTAAGTTTGGACCTTGATGAACTAAACGACTCATATGTTACTGTATACAATTTGAATATACGGTATATTGTATAAATATAAGAGTAATGGCCGTGTGGTCCGGCATAAAATAGGCCACCCATACCTTTCCCATGGATTTTTTTTTATACAACTTAGAGTGGCAAACAAGCTGACGGCCCACCCGATGGAAAGTAGTAACCGTCGCCTATTGACATGAGTAGTACCATGGACATAACAGAGAATACTGTTTCGCCCATGATACCCCCCATGCGTTGCCATTCCTGAGGACTCAGGTGTTATTCCTCTGTACCCAGTAAATTTACGCCATATCCCACCCTTTAAACTGAAACACAGCCATGCAAACACAACTGCTTCACGGTAGAAACGGTAGACACACAAACGGACAGAGGTACCCAAGCAATCGACTTTTGTACAAAGTCTCCCTCTGGATGTCGTAAGAAGCGACTAAGAGAGGGCTAGAGGTGGACAGCAGCGTCCCTTTTAAAATATCTCTAAATCCTAACTGCGTTTACCAATCCGCCTGCCAGAACTGTTGTAATTGATAAACGGTTCGATCTATCGTTTGGCTACGCCCTAAGCCCTATTAAAATTGTTTCATACCCTTGTAGCACTAAATACCAGTCGGTTATCTTTGAGTACCGGCTCGCAACCTCGACCTTACCTATCTTGATCGATTTGTTTATTTCAAAATAAAATCATATTTAGTACACGCGCGTGCACGTAATAAGATATGACGGTGTGCGTGCTGTATAAAGCTGCTAAACGCACGCGTGACTATGTAGTGCGTACGAGATATACCTAATATAAAAATTGCTGTTACATTTTTTTTATACAACTTTGAATGGCAAACAAGCTGACGGCCCACCTGATGGAAAGTGGTAACCGTTGCCTATAGACATGAGCAGTACCATGGACATAACAGAGTATACTGTTTCGCCCATGATACTCCCGATGCGTTGCCATTCCTGAGGATTCGGATGTTATTCCTTATCCGAATCCTCAGGAATGGCATAAAACACAGACATGCAAACACAATTGCTTCACGGTTGAAAAACGAATGGTACAGACGTGCCCAAGCAATCGATTGTTGTACAAAGTTTCCATCTGGTATATTTCTGTAATTTATGATTTAATTTCACAAAAAATACGACTTGAATAGCAAACTTAATGTTGGACAAACATGGAAGGCGAACACCATATATAGATTGCACTAATAACTATCAAAACCAATTCGCCATTAGTGACGTAATCGCGTACCATGAACAGATTATTTGAGATACTTCTTATGGAATTTGGTTAAAAAAAGCTACATAGTAACAATAATTAAAAAAAAATTAAGTCTACAAAAAGAATCATCAAAATTGGTATAAAAGTCAATAAGTAAACAAGATGCCACTTAAGAATTACTGTTTTGGTAGCTCATACCATTAATGATTATTTGAACGGGTACCTCTGTACCACTCGTTTTTCTATCGTGCATTAGTCGTATGTTTTGGTTTAAAAGGTGAAATATGGTAGGAAATATACATGGGCATAACAGTGTATCCAGTGCTGTCCATGCTCCTGTTCATAACTATAAGCGATACTTCCATAAATAAAAAAATAACAGTTTTTGTACGCGCGAAACAAATTAAGATCAAATTTGATACAAAACGCGCGGTCACAGAACCGTTTCAATACTAAAGACGCGATATCCACGCTAATTCTGAACCGATTTTGATGGTTCTTTTTCATACAAGTTTTGTCACGATTAATGTCACTATTTTGTACGAAACAATATCTATAAAAAGGTCCAATCTATAAATAGTATGCTTTCTTTTACTGCACCCATACTTCCTTTAAAATTTATATTTTATTTAAAATATTATTATGGTCATGAAACAATAAGTTAATCATTAAATTTGATTGTTAAGTAATAATTGTTAAAATTTATAGTTTTTTATAAATTTACAACCCCCCATTATTCCACTTAATATACTTTTAAGCTGTTATAAATATTATGAATTTATTATCTGTATTAATCAATTTATCAATACCCGATTTAAAAATAGACAACCTAATTAATTTCTTACCGAAAGCGAGCACCGCCAATGTTACAATGAGACACATGTCACTGATTCTGCGTACGCGACGCGACTGCCCGCGTAGCACTGTCGGGCATCTTATATACATAGATAGATATGGAGCTTCGAACTGTTGCGATGCACCGCGTGCCCGTATCGCGACCCTCCACAGGGGTGGAGATAAATAGCACGACTTACAACAACAATGGTGGTGAAACAAAACCTACGGATGCATCCAACGCCGGAGATGTCACGTGCGTGTCGCCAACTGTACGCTATGAGGAAATGAGATGGTCGGGACTTTTGAAGAATAGGTATCTTGCAAATCTATCGCTGTCGCGCTTGGTCTTATTCACCTCTGTCCCATTCCTGTTTCTACCGTAAAGCATGGCTGTGTTTCGATTTGAAATGTGGGATATGGCAGTGAATTTACAGGGTACACAGGAGCAATATTTAAGTCCTCAGGAATGACAACGCATCGGGGGTATCATGGGCAAAACAGTATACTCTGTTATGTCCAATACCATGACCATGTCTATAGGCAACGGTTACCATTTGCCATAAGGTGGGCCGTCAGCTTGTTTTGCCATTCTAAGTTGTATAAAAAAAAATAACTTCGGTCGCGTACATAATTAGTATATGACGAACAAAGGATTAACCATATAGATTGCAACAAACATATTAATCAGAAGTTGAAACATGTCATTATGTATTTGCCTTGTTGCCTTGTTGCCATTGTGTTTTTACCTTCCTTTCATACATATCAATTCATGTTGTAAAAATCTGTCTTACTTTACTAAGTCTGGATATAGTATAGCTCCCTGTCGAGGTTTTCCCAAGAGACTACAGCATGGGGTTGTTCAAAAATTAATGAAGGGGTGAAAGGGATGAAGAGGTTTCTACAGAGTCGGCAACGCGCGAGTAATGCCCCTGTTATTGCAGACGTTAACAGGCTACGGTAGCCACTTACCGGTAGGTGGGCCGTATGCTTGTTTGCCAATTACTTGAAAGGAAAAATATATTTTTTTTTTTCAGTTACTGAAGAAAAGTAAATAATTGTTTTAAGTGTATGTAAGTACCTCTTCATCTTCAGAACAAGCTTTTTGTATTTTAATAAATTGCGTTTAATACACATAGTGAGTGGAATGTAGAGCTTTGTGATGATAGTATTAATAAAATATGACGTCTAGGAACTTTCGAAAACACATTTCATATGACCCCTATATGGCAACTGTGCCCCATCCCTTCGTTTGTACCAGGGCGGTGATCAAGCATACGGCCCGTCTAATGGTGAGCTGTCACTGTAAGCTATGGATCTTTATGATCACAGTCTTCACTAATTTAACAACCACATAAGGGAGTAATATATCATATTTTTCAAACTGGAACATATCATGCAAACGAGTCGTTGGCGGCAGAGTTGACAGATTTAGATAAATTGGTATGTGGCAGAGGCAGACATAGCACAAATATCGTCTCTACTATACGCCTCTGCATAGCCATCTCTATCTCAGAACGTTTTTAGAAGAAACGCGGATACCGTTTTTAAACCCCGATGCATCTGTGGCATCCTCGTCTGTGTATGGCAGCATCGTAGCTCCTACACGAAGGAACCAATTATGATGCGGTTTTTTTTTTTGTTTGAAAGTTGTCGTGATCGAAATGGTTACTTAATGCAGAGCTGTTAAGCCACTTCAAGGTCATCGGCTCCTTTTTAAATTTTAATAACTTCAAACCGAAACACAGCCAAATACAATTGCTTCACGGTTGAAACACGAATGGGACAGATGTACCCGAGCAAACGACTTTTGTACAAAGTATCCCTCTGGTAATTTTCTTATCTTAATTTCTTCTACGTTATATACATTATAAAGAAGTTTTTTTTTATTTTTATTGTTCCATTTTACAATGAATGAACGCGAAAGCAAATTTCGCTAAAGCAAAATAGCTCTTGTTGCATGCTGCGTAAAAACGTTGCATGAAAACGTTAGCGACAGTGATTGTTGTACCTTATCACACGTTACTAAACATTCTTACCAGGTTATTGTTTAAATAACTTCTCATTGAATATATCGCAGCTGTGATTAGCCATATCTCAATGTCAAATAGACATCTCATTCGAAATACTCGTAAATAAATACGAGAGTACTAGTCAAAGTTGACTGACACTAAGATAATGGCTTTATGACTCACGTACGTACTTATTATATTGTATACATTAAAATATTTATAGTTTTTTACTCTGATGAACGGACAGTCCAACTGGGCTTCTTAAAAAAAAGGCCTAATATATATATATATATATATATATATATATATATATATATATATATATATATATATATATATAATAATGAGTAGGGATAATTTTTATATTATTATATGTATCACATCTCCCATATTTAGAACTAACAAAATTTTTCATCGTGCCTCCCACCAAATTGTTTATAATTACTCCTCTCCATCCAATGGTTGCCTGGAAGAGATCGCTCTTAGCGATAAGGTCGCCCATTGTTTTCTCATTGTGATTATTTCTTGTAATTATTTATATTTATAATAAGTTTACTATTGTAATCTTTTGGAGGAAACAATCTATCTATCTATCTAAAATGCCCCTGGTATTGCGAGCGTTTATAGGCTACGGTAACTGCTTACCATCAGGTGGACCGTATGCTTGTTTACCACCTCAGTGATATAAAAAAAACTGTTTGACAGTGATAACCAACGCTTATAGACGTTAATAGCATCAAGCTCATCATAGAATATGAGGTGACACGCCCATGATAGCCCTCATGCGTTTTCATTCCTGACGACTACTTGTTATACCTTCGTAATCCTTATCCTGTTATTCCAAATCCAAATCTTACTATTTAAACCGAAACAAGGCCGTGTGGTCCCGGCATAGAATGGATCACCCCTTCCTTTCCCGTTGGTATCGTAAGAGGCGACTAAGGGAGGGCGAGGGATGGGTATCAGCGTCCCTCTTGAAATATCTCCAAAATCTAACTGCGGTTACCAATCCACCTATCAAGCGTGGTAACTATTGGCAAAACCCCCTAAGGAGAAGGCTTATCTTCACCAGTGGACAGTTAAAGGTCGATATGATGATGATGATGATGATAGTGCAAACACAGCAACTTGGCGGCAGAATTACGAATGGAACAGAGGTACCCACGCAAATTTTATAGTCTTACTCTAATAGCGACCCGCCCCAGCTTCGCGCGAGTACACATTACATCACATCACATTAGAAACCTCTAAATTTATCAGTGTGTATAATATTACGCATGTATTATACATATAAACCTTCCTCTTGAATCACTCTATCTATTAAAAACCGCTTCAAAATCCGTTGCGTAGTTTTAAAATTTTAAGCATACATAGGGACGGACAGACAGCGTTTTGCGACTTTGTTTTATACTATGTAGTGATGATAACAGCAAAAAATGTATGGTAATTTAAATGAGATACAGGTACCCATACAGATGGCATTGTCTAAAATAAGTATGACAGTAAATCACAAATGGTTGGCCCTAAGGTCACACCGGGGTCTCGGGTGAGCGATTCACATGATGCCCGGTCACAGAGGACAATGGGTTTGGTAAAGCATCCGTCCTATTTGACCGTCTACGTCTACATACTTATATTATATACTTATATATACTAAGTATTCAAAATGAACCTTTTTACATATACTGACAATCGTTATTTTTTATAAAAAAAGAAGATTGATAAACAATTGAAATAGAACAAAAAATACATAATACATCAAGTCAATAGACGGCATTTTCATACATACATACATATATATCTGTCACGCCTGTCTCCCATTAGGGTAGGCAGAAACAATGGAACGCCAAATGCTTCGATTCAAACAAACCTCTTTCGCTATTTTCATTAACAATTAAATATAATTAATAAATAATATATACATACAAAAACCAGCATATTTTTCGAACACTAAATATGTTTACCATACACGTAGTTCAACGTACTCACATGCTTAATATTTGAATATTATTGCCTAAATTACATAACGAACATTTATACTCTTATTTTACTAAACATTGACCGACAAATGTATCTTGTATACATTTGTTTTTTTTTTTTAATGGGTGAATATGAAATGATAGTCCCGCCTGCACTCTCAATGTACATTGGCGGGTCACCAGTGAGAAGTGAGGATGAGAAGAAACGAATTTAACAAGCATTAAACTCTGGTTTCCAAGGGGAAACACATGGAGGTCGACTTGATAGATTATATTGCTTGCATGGGAGCGTTTGACCCCATTACTAACAATTCTTTCCCCCCGTATACATTCATTGGTCACCGTCTAGTAAAATTTACAAAAAAAAAAGTATTTATTTGTTTGAAAGCACTAGTCTCTGAAACTACCAGCCGAATTTATAACATACTTTTTGCATTTTGATAGGTTATTTCTTGAGGGAGTTACTTAATATCATGATAACAACCACAGGCGAAGCCAGGGGATAAAGCTAGTATTAATATAAATGTGAATTTGTCTTTTTTCTGTCTATTTGCTATTATCAGATAAACAATGGGTTAACCGATTTTGATTACATTTGTTGTGGACATCATAACAAAAGCTATTTATATCATTATAAATTAAAATTGTGTTCTTAAAAAAAAGACTTCATTTGTAGCAAAACCATTTATTTTGTTTAAAAAAAATACTCGATCAATTTTTATAAAATTTCTAATCTGATATATATATATCGTTTTAATTAAAAAATAATTATTTATTTCAATAGAATTATTTTAATCTCGCTACTAATGCTGCACTGCACTGCACTGCACTGCACTGCATGCTCGACTGCTAACACTCGAAGATTGGCCACCACTATTACAACCAGAAGTTCCATAACCTTCCGTTTTAGCCATCAATTGGTCAATCTTCGAGTGTTAGCAGTCACACACATACCGATGGAGCGAAATTAAACAAAATAGTTCTAAAAAAAAGGATTTTTCTAATCAGTTTTTAAATGACGGAGTTATGAGGTAACAAACATAAAAAAAATCCAACCGAATTAAGAACCTCTTCCTGTTTTGAAGTCGGTTGTAATATGGTTTTAACGCAAGACAATATTTTTATATTATTTATC